GAGGTGGTCCTGGGAGACACCAAGACCCCATTTGCTATGGGCCCCTTTAGATAACCATTCCGGAGAAACGACTATAGAGGTGAACGACGCGATGGTGCCATCAATGAATTCGTGGCGATTGATGGCTGACCTTGTGTTTGACATTGGACAGATTGCATGCCCAATTCAACGCGATTACATATCACATGTGCGCCATTTACAGCCTTATATAACATGCTAACTGTGTGTGTGTGTGTGTGTGTGTGTGTGTGTGTGTGTGTGTGTGTGTGTGTCTGTGTGTCTGTGTGTGTCTGTGTGTGTCTGTGTGTGTCTGTGTGTGTCTGTGTGTGTCTGTGTGTGTCTGTGTGTGTCTGTGTGTGTCTGTGTGTGTCTGTGTGTGTCTGTGTGTGTCTGTGTGTGTCTGTGTGTGTCTGTGTGTGTCTGTGTGTGTCTGTGTGTCTGTGTGTGTCTGTGTGTGTCTGTGTGTGTCTGTGTGTGTCTGTGTGTGTCTGTGTGTGTCTGTGTGTGTCTGTGTGTGTCTGTGTGTGTCTGTGTGTGTCTGTGTGTGTCTGTGTGTGTCTGTGTGTGTCTGTGTGTGTCTGTGTGTGTGTGTCTGTGTGTGTGTCTGTGTGTGTCTGTGTGTGTCTGTGTGTGTCTGTGTGTGTCTGTGTGTGTCTGTGTGTGTCTGTGTGTGTCTGTGTGTGTCTGTGTGTGTCTGTGTGTGTCTGTGTGTGTCTGTGTGTGTCTGTGTGTCTGTGTGTGTCTGTGTGTGTCTGTGTGTGTCTGTGTGTCTGTGTGTGTCTGTGTGTGTCTGTGTGTGTCTGTGTGTGTCTGTGTGTGTCTGTGTGTGTCTGTGTGTGTGTCTGTGTGTGTGTCTGTGTGTGTGTCTGTGTGTGTCTGTGTGTGTCTGTGTGTGTGTCTGTTGTGTGTGTCTGTGTGTGTGTCTGTGTGTGTGTCTGTGTGTGTGTCTGTGTGTGTGTCTGTGTGTGTGTCTGTGTGTGTCTGTGTGTGTGTCTGTGTGTGTGTCTGTGTGTGTGTCTGTGTGTGTGTCTGTGTGTGTGTCTGTGTGTGTGTCTGTGTGTGTGTCTGTGTGTGTGTCTGTGTGTGTGTCTGTGTGTGTGTCTGTGTGTGTCTGTGTGTGTGTCTGTGTGTGTCTGTGTGTGTGTCTGTGTGTGTGTGTGTCTGTGTGTGTGTCTGTGTGTGTGTCTGTGTGTGTCTGTGTGTGTCTGTGTGTGTGTGTGTGTGTGTCTGTGTGTGTGTCTGTGTGTGTGTCTGTGTGTGTGTGTCTGTGTGTGTGTGTGTCTGTGTGTGTGTGTGTCTGTGTGTGTGTGTGTGTCTGTGTGTGTGTGTCTGTGTGTGTGTGTGTGTGTGTGTGTCTGTGTGTGTGTGTGTGTGTGTGTGTGTGTGTGTGTGAGTGTGTGTGTGTGTGTGTGTGTGTGGTGTGTGTCTGTGTGTGTGTGTCTGTGTGTGTGTGTCTGTGTGTGTGTGTGTCTGTGTGTGTGTGTCTGTGTGTGTGTGTCTGTGTGTGTGTGTCTGTGTGTGTGTGTGTGTCTGTGTGTGTGTCTGTGTGTGTGTCTGTGTGTGTGTCTGTGTGTGTGTCTGTGTGTGTCTGTGTGTGTCTGTGTGTGTGTCTGTGTGTGTGTCTGTGTGTGTGTCTGTGTGTGTGTGTGTGTGTCTGTGTGTGTGTCTGTGTGTGTGTCTGTGTGTGTGTCTGTGTGTGTCTGTGTGTGTCTGTGTGTGTCTGTGTGTGTCTGTGTGTGTCTCTGTGTGTGTCTGTGTGTGTCTGTGTGTGTCTGTGTGTGTCTGTGTGTGTCTGTGTGTGTCTGTGTGTGTCTGTGTGTGTCTGTGTGTGTCTGTGTGTCTGTGTGTCTGTGTGTCTGTGTGTCTGTGTGTGTGCGCGTGTGTTTGCAGAACCCAGGCACAGCTGTCGACATCAGCGTAGGCAGCACCTTGCTTGGGAGACATCGGTGCGACTTGTGCAGCGTGGCTTTTGCAGCACCGATGGGAACGCCTTTCGCAGAGGATCCCGAGATCTCCCCGTGCTAGGGTGGTTTTTGGACACATCATCTGACTGCCGTGCGCATGAAGTGTGGCAAGCTTGAAGCGCGTGTTGCCCTCTTGCTCCGACCCCCCACACTGTAAATGAAAGGAAAAGGAGGAACACATTGGATAGGCCCAGGCGTGAGGTGATGTGTGCCGGGGGAAATCAATGGACTCTGGGGACAGGCTAATTCGATGCACCGCTTGTTCAGTGAGTCGAGAGCGATGTGGCAAGATGTGCCCCACCCTGCAACAAATGTGTTGCCAGGTGGGGGTTATCCATATTATGTGAAGAGATATGAAAGGGTGCTGCTCCTGCAACACATGCCCCTCACCCCCCCTTTGAAGGTCCTTGCAGGCACCTATGAAAAACTGGGACCTTTGAATTGGAAACTGGGAAGTGCATCTCTTCCACCCACCACGGGGACCTTCGCAACCGTAAGCGTGACCCCATGGGTGATGCAGTGATGCCCATGAGTATCACAGAAAGTGGCCCAACTTTCATATTTCTTTGTCATGTTTCCCACAACCATCAAGCAAACCGGGGGGGACGGGGGAGTGAAGAAATCTTCAGCCAGGGCTTGTCTGCTTCTCTAGAATCCAAGTCCTTGCGGAGGCTGGCGGAGTCATGCTAAGTGGACAGTGGACCATGGGGGACCATTGGCACTTAGACCTCAATGTTTCAGACTGAAAACCAAGACTTCTCAGGTGCACTACTGGAACTTGGGGGCAGGATCCCACTGACGATTGACCAAGTCCCACCGGACGCCCTGAAGGGCTTAGTGCAATAAGGTGTCGTACATTTGGTTTGATGGCTAATTGACCATGCTGACGGATTAGATGAACGTGGCAGCGCTCTCGCATTTTTCCACAGACTTCAAAGTCTGTGATTATAGCCTGCGCCCTTGTACAGCCGAAAAAGGGGGCGGCGATCAAAGAATCCACGCGGGCAGTGCTCGGTTGCGCTTGGCAATTGGAGCGGGAGATATGGCTAAGAAAAAGAAGCAGCGAATTGGATTGGGGCATGGACTTGCATTGGGACATGGACTTGCAGCAAATGAGAAAGTCACTGACTGTTTGTTGGGTTCCCTTACAACAAAATTACGTTTGTTTTTTCCATGACCCTTCATATTGTTGAGTCGTTCGGGAAATTAGTTGTGCGTTTCTGGTCACCCACAAAAGGAGCAAATGACAGCATAACTCTCAGCTTCCCTCGTGGTTAAGAAGTGGTTGCCCAGCTACCGTTTACAAGGACCAGGGGTTCAAGTCCCCAAACCAACAATCCAAGCCACCAATTCAGGGACCTGAATAGCGTCATTGGTTGTAACTGGTTTGGTCGACCTCGCTGAGCGGGGGGTCGCCACCTCATGAAGGTCCCTTTGATGGGGCAGCCGGGCATGTTGGGCTGCTAAGTCATACTTCCCACATTATCAAAGCCTCCAGACTGTAGGTCGTACAATTGGCGGAGGCCTGAAAGAAGGGCCACTGTTTGTGGTTCCAAAAAATAAGCATACGACCTTCAGGGTACTATGTTGAAACCCTTGAGTTTGTTGGCTGCTGCTTGGCAATTTGGGGACAGAGGGCGGGCCTGGGCCTCCTGCTACACAGACAACAAGCCGAAGCCCTCAATTTTCCCGCGTCCTCAAGGCGAACAAGGAATGTTCTTTGTTGGTTCAGAGCGCAGCTGACAACAGTGCCATCAGTGGACTGTAGAATCGGGCTGGATATATGAGGGGGCAGAAGAGCATTGGGTTCTCTGTTTGGTTTTTGGCATTCTGTGTGCGTGGTGCAGTGTTTGGGTTGCCGGTATTTGTCTCATGAGACCACACAGGATTTCGGTGTCCCACCCTAAGATCCTGGCAAGAAGGCCTGAAGCTGTACCAGATCACTGTCAACTGGGGGCTGTGCGTAACGTATGGGTATCGTATGGGTATCGTATGGGTATCGTATGGGTGTGAATTTCAGTTGGGCAGCCCTTTGGTGGACATCCAAACTCAGGGGGGCTTCATGTCCAGTCACTTTTGAGGGGGATCACTCTGAAATTCATAGCCAACATGTGTGAGCCGGAAATGCCGCAATTTAATTTCTTTCTTGGAGTGACCTATCGAAGTTTTGCAAGACGGAGTTCGGGTGTTGCCTGCATAAACAACCGCGAGCAGTGCTTTCACCCCTCATTTGGCGATCCAGCTGTTGGCTCTGAGATGGGGCCAATCTCGAATAGGGAGCTTTGTTCAATTATCTTGGCCTGCTTCGCGGGGAAGACGAGACTGGCCATTTGCAAAAGCCTCCACTTTGACAGCTTTCCATTTGTTGATTATCTCCGGCGATTGGTCAAGACAGGGTCCAACTTGTCCCGGACCAAGGCAGGCTCTCTTGGTGGCTTGTACTCGACCCACAAGTCCGTTCCTGTTTGTGTTGTTTTGTGTTGTTTGTGTGTTTGTGTGTTTGTATGTTTGTATGTTTGTGTGTGTTGTGTTGTATGTGTGTATTTTTGAATACACCCAGGCCATGTTGGGAGTGATGGGAATAAGGGCATCGCTACATGGCATGGCACTGCAGCAGCGGATCAAGCTGATATCCATGGAATCGCTTATGATAGCAATCGTTTGTTATCATGCTTCTTCTCAATACCTTGTGTTACGCATTTGCCGGAATCAAATGATGCCGGACACATGCGGGCACGTATGACAGTTGCAATCCACTAGGATTGCCTCCCTTATATACATGGCTTTTCACATACTTAGCAGCAAGTCCGTTTTTGAAGCATGTATGCCTTTGTTCCAACACATTCCACCGCCCCACATCCCAAAAGCTTCAAAGCACATCGTGACTTGCTGATTTGGTGCAGGTTCTCCAAATCTCCTCACTTGAATCAATCAAAGTTCCAGGCAGCCAGACTTGAGAGCTTGAGTCAACCAGTTCCGGGCTCAAGCCAAACTTACTTGAGAGGTTGCTCATGAGACACGTTTTTTATTTGTTCCCACGTTTCATGCGCGCATCGCAATGGCAACCGCCGCGATCGTCGCGGCACGCCACAACCGGCAGACGCTTGGCCCTGGAGTTCAGAGTGGTGAATGATGGTGCCCGGAAGGTGCTCTACTGCTCTACTGATGTTTCTTACATGTTTGCCTGTTCAGAATTGTTTCTCCTGGTAAGTTGGAGCCAAGCTAAACGATTGAATTTGCTGTTTTCTGAAAGCAGTCAACGTACTTCGTCCAAGAGCACGGTGTGTGTGTGTGTGTGGGGTGTGTGGGGTGTGTGGGGTGTGTGTGGGGTGTGTGGTGTGTGGGGTGTGTGTGGTGTGTGTGGGGTGTGTGGTGTGTGTTGTGTGTGTGTGTGTGTGCGCGAGTGTGTGTGAGTGTGTGAGTGTGTGAGTGTGTGAGTGAGTGAGTGTGTGAGTGTGTGAGTGTGTGAGTGTGTGAGTGTGTGAGTGTGTGAGCGCGTGCGCGTGCGCGTGCGCGTGCGCGTGCGCGTGCGCGTGCGCGTGCGCGTGCGCGTGCGGGTGCGGGTGCGTGTGCGTGTGCGTGTGCGTGTGCGTGTGCGTGTGCGTGTGCGTGTGCGTGTGCGTGTGCGTGTGCGTGTGCGTGTGCGTGTGCGTGTGCGTGTGCGTGTGCGTGTGCGTGTGTGTGTGTGTGCGTGTGCGTGTGTGTGCGTGCGTGCGTGCGTGCGTGCGCGTGCGTGCGTGCGTGCGTGGGTGTGTGTGTGTGTGTGTGTGTGTGTGCGTGTGTGCGTGTGTGCGTGTGTGCGTGTGTGCGTGTGTGCGTGTGTGCGTGTGTGCGTGTGCGCGTGTGCGCGTGTGCGCGTGTGCGCGTGCGCGCGCGCGCGTGTGCGCGTGCGCGCGCGTGCGCGTGCGCGTGCGCGTGCGCGCGTGCGTGTGCGTGTGCGTGCGCGTGTGCGTGTGTGTGTGTGTGTGTGTGGTGTATATGTGTGTATGTGTGCTCGTGTGCGAATTCTGGGATGGGCTTATTGAAATCGCTACGCAATCCGCCGACGCCAGTGGACAGTCCCCCATTAATACACTGGGATGTCCCAGATGCTGAGGATGCTGGAAATGCAAGGGATGCAAGTACATGCAAAAACACACCGAACCTTCGCATCCAAAATTTTAAGACTTGCAGACTAGACCCCACCCAAGCCCCTAACAGGCCAATTCCAACATCGCTTGAAACAACGAAACACCACTAGTATCTGCAAAAACAGAGACAAATTCATGGCAACAAGACAGTCCTGATAATGCTGGGATGAAGATCCTGACGGTCCGGAACAACCCCCCCCCCCGTGCGGTGGACACTTAGGGTCTATTTTGCCACCTCCTTCTTTTAGGGTATTGTTTTTTGGGTATGGTTGCAAAATAGACTCTAGGTGTCCATGGCACCCCCCCCCTAGAGACCAGGCGAAACGCATATTTTTAGCACCCAGACCCAAAAACACTTGAACAACACAGGGTTTTGGACACACCCAGCACAGCATGCCCAAAAGTAGCAGTCCCGAAAGCCTTCGGTTTTGATAAGAGATTCCGAAGGAAGACCAAGTTGAGGACAGCCATCTACACGCTCGACTGGTGCCGGCGGATTCGAACCTATATTTTGAGCACCAGTGTTTCAGTCGTGAATTGCAATGGAGAACGCCCTCGAACACGGTTGGTGGACATGTTCCCCGCCATGTTTCTAATATCCACCAAAGGGTTCTACAAATCAAACAGCCAGCAGCAACTACCCTTTGTGGGTGTTCCAGAGACAGGCTCAAGCCAAACGGGGCTTGGCTCCGTGTGGATTCCCTGAGGTTGGTAACTTGTCAGATTCGCCTGGAGACTCTCCGTATTGAGGAATTCCATTCGTGTCATGGGCAAAGCTGCAGCGGCAGCGGAGGTATCCTCCCAGAACTTGATCTTTTTTTGGTTGCAATCCAGGCTAAAAGGCACACGATGCTTGCAAGAACAGCTCTGTGCTATCCCAGGAAGCATACCAAAGGCGCGTTTGGCGGGTTCACGCTCGCAGGTCTTCTCTCTGCCCAGTCCACTGGCACCCCTTTTCCTTTGGATGTTTTTCTTGAAAGTCAGCCAGCCAAGGATGTCCCCTTTTTTCCATCGGCACTGGGCAAGTAAGTCTTGATGTGCGCAAATACCATGGATGTATGTTTGGCATCATTGACATGTCAGGAGTGGCTCACTTGTTTCAACATGTTTGAACTGGTGTTACTTGAAATTTGCATCCTTTTGTAGGTGTTCCTTCAGAGGGCTTTATGGCAACTGGTTGTTGCCCATTATCCCGCCCGTGTTCTCCCCGAGCCGAATCCCAGGCACTTTTACGAGCTGGCCACTGTTCCTTTGGGCAGTTGAATATCAGTCCGAATGAGTGTAGAAAGGAAGCCTGGGCGACAATCCTTCAACCATGCCGAAACGGATGTTGTTTGAACAACCTCGGCGACCTCGGTTGTATGGCCTTTCAATCGAAGTGCATGTCGCGGTTCATGGTTTGCTTTCTTTCGTGCTTGCTTGCTTGCTGGCTAGCTTGCTGGCTTGCTTGCTGGCTTGCTGGCGTGCTCGCGGGCTAGCTAGCTAGCTATCTTGCTAGCTAGCTTGCTTGCTTGCTTGCTTGCTTGCACCTCCAAGTATCTATCTACCTTTGTCCATGATAGTTTGAATTGAATTGCGTCCAAGCTTCTTCCTCAAAGCATGGTGAGCGATCGAAGCAAAGCGAGACCTACTGCTCAGTTTCCATGTGGCTTCGTTGGTTTAGGGTCCCTTTTGTTTGTTTTGAAGGGAAACCACGGGCATTTCTTTGCGTTGCTGTAACGGGAAACCATGGGGAAATGACCAATTTTGCGGCTCCCATGAGACAAACCAACCTTTGCAGTCGGTTGTGCGATTCGTCCGTGAAGTTCAAGAGGCGCATGTTTCATTGCCTGGTGTTCACCGTAAGCCTTTTGACTGATTAATTTTAAACTTAATTGGCTGAAATACAGCGTGGATTCCATCTTCCAAATCCCTTTGTGTTCAGGCTGCCCTTCTGAAATTGAGTCAACAAAACGGCTTCCATTTGTTGTTCCAGCAGGGTCACTGGTCAACTGGGGTAGGTTCATGTGGAATGTGTTGAACGTTAGCGGCTGCAAGCGCGCTAGAGGCATTGAAGTGGGTAGGACACCCTTAGATCATGTCAATCTGTCTCAAAATGGTACAGTCCCTTTTGAGTGTTTTCAAGGACAATGAAAATACATGCGGCCCCGTACTATATCAAAGGGAAGCCAAAACGAACAACCAAGGAAACCGACACAAAACTCCTTGTGGGGAATTGAAAGAACAGTGGTGGTTTTTCGACCCCGGCCGGCAGATGATGGGGCCCAGCACTCAGACACACTGGGAGCGCGAGCTCCTCCCGGACGAGGTCGCCAAGGTTCACCTCCCCGTAAATGGGCATGCGTCTAAATATTTCCTAACATCAGGTAAAATGGCTGCCCTACAAAGACAACCAAACGGTGGTACTCAAATATGCAGAGGTGCAAACAAAAGGACTTCGTGTGCCCAAGATCGCCTTTTGTGGGGTAGTGCTACTTTTGGAAGGCAAGCAAAGGGAGTCAAGCGTGGTAAGTTTTAGTTTCCCATTTTCTTTTGGCAGCCGTATCACCTTTCCAGCAAGTGAGGTTCCTTTCCTTTTGACGGGGTGCTGCTTAAAGGGACATCAAAGGATCCGAGACCTTTTCAGGGGGTTCATCTTGACAATGTATTTGGTATGCAGTATGCATGTTTCGTTGTTTGTTTGCTTGGTTGTGTTCATGTTCGCGTGATCGTGTGTCTGTGTGTGTGTGTGCGCGTGCGTGCATGCTCGTGTTTGTGTTTGTGCGTTTGTGCTTGTGCTTATGTTTGTGCTTGTGCTTTGCGCGTATTGGTGTGTGTGTGTGGGGGTATTTGTGTGTGTGTGTGCCTTTGCGCCTCTGTGTGTGTGTGTGTGTTTGTTTGTTTGTTTGTTTGTTTGTTTGTTTGTTTGTTTGTTTGTTTGTGTGTGTGTGTGTGGTTGCTTGCGTGTCTGTATGTGTATACATATATATGTGTATGTGTGCGTGGTGGGTTGTTTGTGTATGTGTGTTTGTTTTTTGTGTGTTTTTGTATTTCTGCGGGCCTGTTTTTCTTGTTGGCTTGGTTGCGCATTTGTTTGTTTGTTTGTGTGGGTGTGGGTGTTTGTGCGTGTGTGTGTGTGTGTGTTGCCGAAAAGCACAGTGTTTGGCTAGAACAACATTATCTTGTCAGGCGTTGCCATGAGTCTAAGCGTTGCATCATTAATGTCGCTGCTTGAAGCTGTCCTTGTTGGCGACCGTAGTTGATGCTTTCCGTCTAGACCCGGTGATGTATCTCGCTATGCCTTGGTGGTTGATACTCAGCCTCCCAATGAAGTGGTTTGAGCAACGGCAGACTTGAGAGCAAGGAACCCAGCTGCACGATGTCCCGCGCCAATCTAGATGGGGTGCCTCCTTTGGCAGTGGCACCCATGGCCTTGACAAGAGGCTGCGGGAGCCAGGTTCGCCTTGCCCTCAACGATCCCCAACCTCGTTGGCTCAATGCCAAAAAACGTGGACTTGCCCGCTGGGCGACTTGCAAATTCAATCCTGGTGGTCCAGGTCTCCCATTGCTAGACATACCCATTGTGACCCCAGTCACCTAACCTCGCCGAACAAAGGGGATGCCTTGCAGCATGTTCCCACCCCTGCGTCGGCAAAACCCCAAAAGCCGTATGACCAAACCGTAAGTTGGTTTCCTTTGGGGAGGCGCGGTACGGGCTGTTGCTTGGCGCCACGTACACAGGGTCCCACCAAATACATTCATATATTGCCTGGCGGAGCGTCAATTCGACATTCGGACATGAGTTTCGGTGAATTATTAGACTTCACCTGAAAACAGCCCCACAGTTGACAGTTGAACATATTTTGTCCATTTAGTCACCCCTTTTACTTGCCCACGAGTGACATTTGTTCACCGTTGCAATCGGAGTTTGTTTCAGCGCTCAGGCTGAGAGGCGGCGCAGGTTCGCTCAGAAACTGGCAGAGACTTGACCCAATGGACTGGGGCGGGGAAAGTGAAAAAGAATCTAGCTGCATGTGTCCTGTTTGAGGATGCTATGTGTTGGTCGTTTCAAGTGGAACTCGTAGGAAAGAACGGAAACTGGTGTGTGTGTGTGTGTGTGTGTGGGTCCCTCGGATGCGAGGCAATTTGAGTCTTCATCATTCATGACATGACCCCTTGAACCATGCCCATGATGTTGGCTGGTACAGGAATGAACAACATGGAGACTTCAGGTATACGGAGCAGTTCTAACGAACACCATGGCTGCAACGAGCTTGGCCTCCCTCAATGCTTCAGAATTCAAATTGTTGTGAAGTTACCCTGCTCACGCTTGGTTTGAAGAGAACCAAAGGGAGAAGCACTCATGTTGGGTGTCTCCTTTGTTTTGACAGACATACTCCCAGGCTTTCATCTGAAGTTGACAAAGTGGCTAAGGCGCAAGTGCCTTGGAATGCCACCTCACCCATGCCCGGGCTCTTTCACATGCGCCCGTTGGAACTCACCCACCGTTTGGTGGCCACTTCAAAGAGGGGTCTTCCTTGGCCAAGCACTCTTACCGGGCACAGTTTTATGTGCAATTCAAGATAGAACGGCTCAAGCTTTAGCCGAGGCACATCTTTCCTGGGCCCTTCAACATAGCAGGGGTCGATCAGTTTTGATTGCAAGCACGATTATCATGGTTCATAGAAACCAGCTACAAAGTCTATAGGAAGTTAGGCAATCTCCCGCTAAAACAAGGGCTTTTGTAGACATTGGAAAGCTTGTTTTGGAGTTTGGTAACTATCAAAAGCCGATCGTGCATGCCCACAAATGCCGCCCAGTCTGAACTCCAATCGCAGACTGGTTTTCTGTCATTCCTCACATTGGAGCCTTCGCTTCAAGTCACCTTTCCTCAAGGACGAGAGCCTCCCATCTGAAACCTGACAGAAGGGGTTGTCAAAATAGCCGAACACCCAATTAGAATGGGTGTTTGTTTTTTTTGGCTTACCTTTCGCCTCAACAAAAAGACTGCATCCAGAAAAGCCACCCGAGTCAAATCCTCTAAGATCGCACCCCTCGGTGGTGTCCATCTTCTGCACATACCGCATGATATCCCTTAGGATTCCTTAAGCCAGGCCGGCAAATGGGCGTATCCTTTTTTGAGGGTACCTTATTTGAGGTTGTTTGAAAGGGACACCAAGAGGAAACCGCAAGTTGTTCCCTTGTTGAGGTTGTTTTACAGGGATGGGGTCTCCTAAGAAAAGAGACCCACGTGGTTGGTAATTACCTCTCAACAAATGTAAAGTTGGGTATATCATGTCCCCATTTTTTAATGGCCATGGAGACTATCGGTACTTGTGCCATGTCCGTTTCCCTCAAGCCCGCCCCATCAAACCCCCCACGCGTCGACACGCCCAGCACGACCAACGACGAGCTGCGGAACGCTTCGACCAGCTGGATGCATTCTGCCTCGGGGCGTCTTGGCTGTCCTCCAAATGGGAGTGTGGGATTTTTGAGGGCAGCATTTTCACCTTGGTTCGAAGGGAAGCCGAAAGGAAAATCATCATGTTTGGACCCTAATTGTAAACGCTGCGCGTTGCCTGGTCAAGTGGCGATTCAGGAATGGACAGGTTCTGGCGTCGTTGGACCAATTGATGTCGTGGGCCGAAGTTGCGCAAGAAGCCGCGAGGCAAGGGCATGGCACTGCGTGCTGCGGCAGTATGTCATAGACGGAAGTTCTCGACAACCAAAGCAGAGTTATGGTGATCAACGCACACGGCAGTCTTGATCGACTGTGCTGGCGTGGGATTCTTCCAGCGTGGATTTGTCGGGCTGACCACTAGGCTGGACCTGAGGCTAGTTGTGCTTGGGCAGGCGCTGGTAGTTTCAGGCACGTCGGCCTTGCCTGCTGGCTGGGCTGGGGCTTGGGCGGGTTCAGACAGGGCGGGCTGGGTTTTGCTTGAGTGTTGGGAGCCAGACTGGCTGGGGTGCCGGCTGGGCTGGGCCTTAAGCAGGTCAGCTGGGTTTGAGGTTGGCCTGCTTAGAGCGTTTTCTCATTTGCGACAAAAATGGGCCCATGGAGCTGGACGCCAACGAGCACAGCAAATTTCAAGGCCCGCCGGACAGGATGTTGGGCCGGCAGACGTGGGTGAGGGGGTGGGCCAGAGAAATTGGAAGGGTGGGAACAAAGACTCTCTTTGGAAAACAGATCTGAGCGCCCTTGGCCCCCTTGGGGCCGACACGAATTTAAACACGCACCAACATGGGATTGTCCAAGAAAGTGCAGGCACCTCAACATGATCTGCGCAAATTGCGGAAAACAAGCTTACCCATGCTGAAGGTCCATTACAGGGAGGGGTCCCTATATCCGGAAGGTATAGCCATTTGCCAAGAATCAAGGGTGTGCTGCCTAGTTTTGCGGAACCACCAAAGCATGTCCAGGAAACAACAAACGACCGGGAGCCCCCCTCCAGTCTCAAACTGGAGCGGGGGCTCCCTAAACCGACCCAAAAAGTACTGTCCGTGTTGACTGGTCCCTGTCACATTGCTCAATTTCCAAGGTGCCTTGTTTTGTTTTTTGCCTTTGTAGCTCCGCTTATGCCAGGGTCCATACTAAAGTGGGCGAGAGAGTCAATGCCAACTTGGTCCTTCCAGCGCCGTTTGAGCGTCCAGACCTGGCTTGGGGATCTCCTTGAGTTGGGATAGTTGATTAAGTAGGGATTGGTGCGAGAAAGGGAACATCAAAATGGACCGTGGTCGGCTTTTCCAACCAAAAGTCATTTCAGGCAGTGCACCAGGCTATGGACCCATAAGATGGCGTTTGTGCTGGTCGGATTTGCGGATGTAGTGCCCTGGAGTAAACATCAGCCGATCTCAAAATCTGATCTGTCCCCCTTTTTTGGAGGGATAAGGAAACCCAAAAGAAACCAGGCGTCCGGCAAAGGGCCCAAGGTTTTTCATAGGTCGGGCCCGTTGCAACTGAGGCATCCATGACTTTAGCCACCCAAATGACCAAATGCAAATGTAGGTGTTTCTTGCTGAATCCTCGTATGCCGTTTGTAACAGGAGGCCACGTGCGAAATCATATCTTCCAACATGGAGGTGCAAAGGGGCAATTTGGAAGACTGATGCCCTTGGACCAAAGAAACCCGTATGGCTGTGAGTTTTCACACGAAGCCCCTGAGTCCCTTCAATCGTTAGATCAAAGTCGCCATGCTAAGGATGCTTGCCAAAGGTTGGCCATGGAAGTTGGTTCACAGAGCCGCCTAGCCGTACTGAGGTCATCAACAAATCCCAACTGGAGGCACGCTGATGCCATGCTCAAGCTCACAGGGCTGAGTTGTAAGCTGCTCGTTTGGCAGGCAGCTTGGGGTGTGAGTGTGCGCGTGTGTGTTTTTGTTGAGCGGGCAACCTTTTTTGGGGCGGTTGGTTTGAAGGAACCGTCAATTGAAGTCAAGCCCATTAAAGCGTTAAACGAACACCTCCGGGTTTGCCTTGATGGAATCATTGTTCCAGATGACAAGGTTCGGACAATGAGAGAGCGCAGATTTGTTGCGACCTGGGTCCAAGTTCTGGTACTCCCTCTGCATTCATTGGAAATTGCCATCTGGAGTCCCCCAAAGTTTGAAACCCGAACGTGCTGAAAAATGAACGGGGCGCGTCATGTTCGGGAGCTCTTGGGTCTTGGGAACTACTCGTAAGGTTGATCCTGTGATATTTGCAGCGAGTACCCTCCCAGGCCGTCATGAAATCAAATGCGTTTGGCTCATATTCTAGTTGCAGCGTGAAGAGGGACACGAGATCACCGAAAGCGAGTGGACCACACCAATACTTACCTCTAGGTCCCTGAGCTCCTGGGTCAAACTTAGGGCCCCGGTTTTTGGGAAGAAGGGGCCCAGCTGCAGAACTGTACCCCTCGGTTTATTTAAGGCGTCAAAGCTCAAACCCCGGCAGGAAATATGCATATTCCCTCCTCATTTCCTGAAGCACGCCGAGAAGCATCCGGAGTTTTACGCCAATGGCAGGTGCTGCTTAGCGAGATCGTGGTGAAGCACCCACCTCAGGACCCCAAGGCGTGGGATGTGGTAATGTAGCTGATGGGATGTTGGCACTAGTAAGCCAATGCTGGATCAATTCCAAGCCATATTTGAGAACTACTGAACCAGAGCTGAACCACGATTCCAAGCAAAGAGCACCAGTGAGACCATTTAGCGAAATTGCTGACAAGCAAAATGAGAGTCCACGAGACAGGGGTGTGCATGTTTTGAGGGTGACCAAAAAGCGAAAGGGAACCAGAGGAAAATAAGCCTTCGGGGTTCCAGACCGAGACTTCGTGGATTGACATAGGTCTAAGCCGCCCTTGCCCGTCCATGACAAGATGTCTTGAAAGCTGCCCGCTGCACACCTCTGACTCAGTTTTGTTTAGATATCGACCCCTTGGAAAACGATTTCAGCCATTGGCTATGAAGCGGTTTCGGCCAGCCCACTCTAGCCACAAGCTGGGGGCATTTGTCCTTTCATGAGGCAAGTTTGGCTGTCCATTCATGTAACCTTCCAAACGCGCTGTTTGTTTCTTCGTGTCCTTTCAAGTTCGGTTGCTGCAAGCAAACCCCTGGTTTTGGCACATTCTCATGTCCGACCTTTGCGACTTGAGTCAGTAGCCCTTTTTGCGGTCTGGGCTGCCGTTGAAAGGACGAGGAGGGTCCTCAATATCAAGGCTTGTAAGGGAAATCACAACTTTGTATGCCATAGCTCGATTATTAGATCAGGCAGCAGTGTCAATGACCGGCACTATTGGGATCTGCTTTGATGACGGGTTTACCCGTGCTTCAATTTAGTGGAATTCCTTGGGAGACACATGCAAGGAGCCTAAAAACAACCGCTGGCTCCGCCAGTTTGTGAGCTCCATGGAGGCTGCAAGAGCAAAACTGGACGGGCCACTGAGGATTTTCTTGCTGGTGCTCAGCAGGGAATGAGGGAATGACCCCTATAAACCATGCCTTGTGGTTTCCTTTAAGGGAATCCTCAGGTTCATTCCCTCATTCCCTGCTGAGCACCAGCAAGTTTTCTGGTAGCTTACGATTCATCAGGAACCAGGGAATTGGGGCGGGGCAAACGCTTTATTTGTTTCCAGAAACACCCGCAAAACAAGCCAAATCATGGCTTGTCCTGCGGAAACAAGTCATTTTATCCATTGCTCATGTGCATGACGAGTTCAGTTCCAGGGGTCTCCAAGCCTGGGCACTTCGGCTGGATATTTGTCAAGCCACGATCAAAGCCCCAATGGTCGCGACAGCATTACACCTCGTAGCACGAGTGACCTGCTGGGCAATAACTTGCACGGGAAGCGGACATGCGGTTTCAAAGATCAAACGGCAGAGGGCTTGTTCCTGTCCAGTCAGGCGTCCCTTTCTGGCCCAAAACACATGTTTTAAACTTTATGCTAAGCTAAAAGCGCGGAGCAGGTTGAGTACCTATTTTCAGATTGACCAAAGCCAAACTGTTGACCTTGGGTTTTCCAAGTTGGGGGTGTAGCTGTTTTCTGAAGATTCCGAAGAGTTTTCCGGTTTGCTGCAGGGGAGAGAATCTTCCGACCACAAGCGAGCCAGGCCGCCAAGTACATGTGGAGACTGCTTCGGGTGGAGGAGCCCAGTGCACTTGGACTATGTGTGGTTTGCCTATTGAAAAAGAGAGACGAAAACATGATCCAGCTTGAAACGGGGGAACACCACAGACGTGTAGGAACAAAGGTTGTTTGACCTGAACTGAGTGGGCCTGGAGTGGTTCTAGGCTGAGTTTAGAACTCTGCGCATGCCCAAAGCAGTAGCAGTATCTCGAAATTTACTGTACCTGGTGCAAAGTATAGCGGCATTGTTGTTTGAGGCACGCTGTGCTTGGTTTCAGCCGTGGAATTGCAAAGCAGAATCTAAGAGCCGGATAAGTTGCACCATGATTCCCTTCTCGCTGGAGTAAAGACAGTTTGGAAGGAACCTCAAGGAAGCAGAGACTAGTGCTGACCCTAAATTAGTCAACCCTGCAGATGAATAGGGATAGCCTGTCAGAGTGATCCGGATCCCCTCCAAAATGAGAGGCACTCCCTGATCAACCAGGGGTATATTTATGAGCTGGGTCTTCCCTCGTGTTTTTTGTTTTTTTTGTTCGGGCAGTGTGGCAAGAAAGATCCGGTTGAGAAGGACATGTTCAGATGGTCATCGTCAGGCCTCAAAGCCATAGGTCACCGAAGGGTATGGTTTGGCGGGCTGAATGCCAGGAGCCTCATGCGGACAAAGCGCCGGCGAAACAGGAGGACGGGCGGGCTTCGTTTATTGGCTCAGCTATGGTTGTATTTCTAAGGGTTGATTCCCCATTCTTTCGTCACACGCGCACTCAGTGCAACGATCGGTCTTTCGAGCCGGTTTCGGCTCAGTTTTTGATTTTTTCTGCAGCGAGCACTGACGCATGCAGAAAGTTGTCCCGCGGGCTAGGGGTAAGGCCAATAGACTACACAACCCCTTCCCCTGACCTGCCAAAGTCATGCCGCTGCAGGCCATCGATCTTACTGGCAGCGTTCTGTTTTCCGGGGCATTGTTCTTTCCCTACAACCATCGTTCTTTCCCCAGGGCCATCGTTCTTTTCCCAACCATCGTTCTTTCCCCAACCATCGTTCTTTCCCAACAACCATCATTATTTCCCTTCTTTCCCCACCCCATCATTCTGTCCCCCTGCATCGTTCTTTCGATCAAAGATCAGTGTGTCCCTGTTTATTTTTTTTAGTTTTTGCACCTGTTTTGGGTGAAAATTGGAAAACCGGAAAGAATGGGGAAGGATTGTATGAGGTCATATTTTCGGTTAAAACCCATTCTTTCCAAGCATCCAATTTTCTAGGATTTCCGGTCTTTCCTCCCGAAAGTGATGACAACTGCTGCGTGGGCTGCTGCGTGGGTCCCCATTGAAGGAATGAGGAAGTGGATTGGAAGCTTGTGGAGAATTGGATCGCGGGCACCACTTTGGTGGGTTGGCTGCTGAGGGGCCCGCGGTGCCATCAGGAGGGTGCTTCAATGCTTGCCGTGAAGCCACGGGCTTTATGTTTGTCAGTGTCGCCTTGGCAATGATTCATGACGTGGATGTGGGCAAAACAACGGTCCACTTGGCTGTTCACGCGCGCTTTGTAGGCGCGGGCGTTGCTCACTCTCGTCAGCTTCTCAGAAGCCAGGCGCTGTCTTTGCTCAGCACCAAAAAAGAATCAGGAGGACAGCCCATGCAGTTCTGGCGTGCCATCCTGTACGTTTTAAACGCTTCCAGGACTGTACTTAAGCCTGGGCGCTGCAACAGCATGCGACCTGCGAGCTGCACGATGTGTGCCTGCATTGGGCTCACACGCCCCATTTGGTTTTGTCGTCTCATTTGAGACTTGACACGTGACACTTCTGATTCACAGCTGTTATCACCGCCAACCACCAGCATGTCTCTGCAACGTTCGATTGCAGCTGGCTTTTTCATGGCAGAGGCTTCTTTTAAAGTAGCAAGTTGACCTTCGGTCATTGCTGACTTCTTGAGACGTATAACAGGGCTCATCTCATCGTGGGCATGTCTCGCAGCGGCATTAGGAACCTTCAAGTCTCTACAGGCCGCCAGAAGAGCTTTGCCAGAATCCGTTCCTGCCACGCATGTGGCAAGATCCGCATGCTTCCGCATAGATCTCATGACAGTGGCTTTGTCTTCTGGCGGGCTTGGCGCCCCTGCGCAAGATCTCTTCGGAGGCATGGGCACTGCAACAGAAGCTTTTGTAAAGCGACCTCGAAGGAACAGCATGCGACCATGATGGACCACCTTCCTGTCTGTACCTCTTTTTTTGTGGTTGCGTTTCGCAAAGCCACCCAGTCTTGGCTTGCGCGCAGGCCTGTCATCAACACTTTGCTTTCCTCGCAGCCGGCGGCGTCGCAGCAAAAAATTGGGCCGCGATGTCTTCTTGTGTGCACAGTTTTTGGATCCATCCATCTCAAAGATCTCGCTGCTGAACTTGATGTTTTGCTGCTCTTGCATGTGCAGGAAGGCCAAGGCGAACCGCATTTCATGCACCCATCGATCCAAGAGGTCCGGGCTCAATGAGTTGGCGGAGTCAGGAACAGAATGAAGCATGGTGTCTTGGGGCATCTTAACGCCAACAGCAAAAGCCGTCCGCAGCCATAGTGCATACTGTGGCTGGTAGGACTTCCGAGCGCTTCTCCAAAACGGTGTGTATGCCAAAGTTGACTGGGCCAGTTGCAAAGGATGTCGACCTGGCGTCCGACATGATCTGCACTGCAGCACATCAACAGCCGATGCTCCCGTGCTGGAAGACGAAGCAGTGCAAGCCACCATGCGACCTCCGCACTCCCAACACAGACTCGTTCTTTCAGAACGCGACCCTGGCAAGACGCCAGAAGCTTTCAAATACTTCTCTGCCCTTGCAGCAGTCCAGGTCACCACATCTGCAAAAGTGTACTGTTGCTTGAAAGTGCGCAGGGTTTGGCTGACTTTCAAGGCAGAAGAGGCAGTGCTGCTGTGCAACCCAAGCTTGACATGGTGGGTGTTGCTCACGGAAGCACGGATTTTGCGCGATGCCTTCTTCTTCGGAGCTTGAAACTTTTCTGGCCTGATTTTGGAACCACCCATGCGGACAGAGGCATCTTGAGCCTTCTGACCGGCCATGCAAAAACACAAAGGTGGGCAGCGTCACTCCCTCCAAGCTTCAAAAAAAAACAGCCCCAGGGAAAATCAGCTCTGAGGGCCCTTAAACCAGGGGGGTGTTTCCAAACAAGGAACTCAATGTGTAAGAGGATCAGGCAAGAACAACAATCTGGCATGCAAGTGCTCTGGCTCACTTTCCCCCGCGCGAGAAGAAATCTCAGCATCGCCCCCGCTGAAAGCATGCCCACAAAGACCTGTGCACCTCTTTCAAGTACTCAGGAAACAAACGCAACTGAGCCGATGTAGCAGGCACAGAGTTCCAACACAATCTCTCCCCTGCCACACCTCGTTTCCAGAAACGAGAACAAAGAAGCACAGCCTGTCCAGAGCGGCGTCCGCTCTCGAAAACATGCGGGGCTTGAGCATACCCGCACTTTGCGCATCTGCCCCATTTCGTGGCCTTCACACTCGGGGCTCGATTCTCGAGCGCCCTCCAAGAAAAAGAGCCAGCATCATGTGTCTGCTGCACGGGCTGCGCTGCGTTGTCTTGGATCTCAGCTGACGCACTGAAGTCCGGCACACGCGGCTCACCTTCATCAGGCACGTGTTCGTGGCTCGCAAACTCCATGGCCTACAAGGCAATTGCGGAAAAGCAAAGACAGTGACCCCAAAGAACAACGTGCCCTTGCAGCCCTGAACCACACAAATCTGCCTGGCTGTCATCTACAGCGTCCTGCTCCGAAACCGACGAAGCCACGCTGACCGGAGACATCGGCGGTCCTTGATAAGCAACTAGCGCGGCTGTTTGCCTCCAGCGCCAACCTTAAGTCACATGGGTCCAAATTACCAACATATAGATCGAGCATTTGAAAAGAACGAAAACACTTTACCTCGAACATTCTGAAAAGAACGAAAACACTTTACCAAAAAACCCACATCTAGACAAAGCACTCTTGAAACGCCGTGTCCAAGGAGAATCCAAAGTCTTCGGCGGCGATGTGTCTCCCCGCTCAGCATGCCCCAAAATGCATCGACAGTTCCAGGGGACTCCGGAGACAAGGGAGGCGCTGCCATTGCCAAACCGACCCCAGCATTCTAAGCTTGGCAAAATGCAAACGCCTGCCGCATGCCGGCGTCCTCGCTCGCGCACAGGTGAAGCTCAATGAGCCCAAAATAGCCGCCAACCCCATAACGAAGAGGTCTGATGCGCGTGCAACGGGAACCTTTAAAAAGGCGGAACTATATACACCCCAAAAATATTTAGAACGCGGGAAACCACCAAGCTTGTCGGACCTCAGACATGCGCAGCCGTCTTCAAAGCGAGAGATCTTCATCATCCCCCAAAAACGGGAACCTTTAAAAAGGGGGAACTATATACACCCAAAAAATATTTAGAACGCGGGAAACCACCAAGCTTGTCGGACCTCAGACATGCGCAGCCGTCTTCAAAGCGAGAGATCTTCATCATCCCCCAAAAACGGGAACCTTTAAAAAGGGGGAACTATATACACCCAAAAAATATTTAGAACGCGGGAAACCACCAAGCTTGTCGGACCTCAGACATGCGCAGCCGTCTTCAAAGCGAGAGATCGTCATCGTCCCCCAAAAACGGGAACCTTTAAAAAGGGGAACTATATACACCCAAAAAAATATTTAGAACGCGGGAAACCACCAAGCTTGTCGGACCTCAGACATGCGCAGCCGTCTTCAAAGCGAGAGATCTTCATCATCCCCCAAAAACGGGAACCTTTAAAGAGGGGAACTATATACACCCAAAAAAATATTTAGAACGCGGGAAACCACCAAGCTTGTGCGCACTCCGAGAAATGGACACGTTCTTGCTTTTTTTTTTGACAAAAACTCGCGCGGGTCGTTCAAATCATGCGGCTTCGGGCTCCGGCTGTCCTTGGCAGCTCTCGTACTCTAAAAGGCTGAAAGCAATCTCACGCAGCACGTCTAGCAGACTCTCAGACAGCCGCTCCCACATCGTGCAGCAGCGAAAGAGGTAAGGCCTCGCGAGCAAAGCCAGGCCACCACTTGGAAAACTAGGTGTAACACCCAAACTGTGGAAACTGACGCTAAAAGACTGATGACCAACGCTCTCTGCAACTGAAGCACATGGCACGCAGCGTGCGAGACGCTTCATTGATGTTTCTGCGCAAGTGTGTGGCTGCCTGCGCATGCGAGGCTCGACACTGCGCTAGAAGCAGCTGGGGCAATGTCATGGGCGGGACGGAAGTCCAGACCTCTGGCAAGTCCGCAAAGACAAGCTCCAGGTGCTCGAAAAACGGAGAGGCCGCTTGCAAACTCGTCAAGCAGTGGGCCAGAGGCACCAGGTAGTCCGACTCCGAAGGGGCCAGCAAAGTAAAGAGCTCCACGGCCACTAGGCGCAAAGGTTCCAGCGAGCTGGCCAAAATGCGCTGTCGATGCGCCAGGTCTGTGTAAGTGACTCGAAAAGCCATCCCAAGCGCAGTCAAGTGGGCGAGCAGTATATCCACATCGAGCTCGAATGCCATGATACTATCAAGTGCCTAGAACTAAGGAAGTTGAATGAGCCCTCTGCACAGACAGCAGCAATGGCTCGCGTTCACTCCGCTTGAGTGGACTGGAGGTTAAGTTCTTCAACAAGCCCTGACTTCAAGAAATGGTCTCCCACAAAAAAGGATTGAGTGCAAAACCTCGACCCCGCTCAAACGCCAGTGGCAACAGAGGTGCAGTCACTCGGATGTTCAGACTGCTGAGTCAGAGTTGAAGAGTCCAGGGTTGTTTTCTATCCTCCCACTACTTAAAACACGCCCCAAAAGCATTGCCAGGGAGCCAGGGGCTTGTGTGCGCGTGAGCGGGTGTTCTTATCATTTGGCAGGCATGGATACAGTGCTGAGCGTGCGCGTGAGCGGGTGTTCTTATCATTTGGCAGGCATGGATACAGTGCTGAGCGTGCGCGTGAGCGGGTGTTCTTATCATTTCGCAGGCATGAGTACAGTGCTGAGCGTGCGCGTGAGCGGGTGTTCTTATCATTTGGCAGGCATGGATACAGTGCTGAGCGTGCACGTGAGCGGGTGTTCTTATCATTTGGCAGGCATGGGTACAGTGCTGAGCATGCGCGTGAGCGGGTGTGCTTATCATTTGGCCAGCATGTGTGCCCTGGTGACATGATGCCATGTTCGCCACGATCCAACTGCTGCCACGTCCCCTGGGAACCGCATTGTGTATCCCCTTTTCGAAGTCTCTCAAACAAACAGCCAGGGCTCCCTTTTATGTCGTAGGGGGTCCCATTAAAACATACAAGCCAGGGCTCCCTTTTATGTCGTAGGGGGTCCCATGAAAACAGACAAGAGGAATATAAAGCTTTACCCCCAAAAGAGAGACTTCCGGTTGCAGGGGGCGTGGCACTTCCCCCCCACCCCACCCCACCCCACCCCACGAAAACGCGGCAGGCGCGGTAAAAACTACACGTCAAGCTCAAATTCCACTGGGGAGAAGAAGCGCGTGGGCGCGCGTGAACAGCCCAACGGAGCCCAAAACAAGAAGGGCAAGGCTGACCGCCCCTGCTTGGGAGATGCCTGGTGGGCTGCTGGGAGTCGGCAAAGGGAGAGAATGGGAACAGTTGAGTTTTAGCCTTGCTTGAGTGGACTGCTTCGACGGCAATTGTTGTTGCAGCCATTTTGGGGGATAATTGGCTTAGCTCTTCAGAATGGGGTGGTGTGGCTTAGAGTATTTGGCTCAACTATGGTTGTTAAGAAGCCAAAGAAACCAAGCAAGATCTCTTCCAAATAGTTGTGTTGCTGATGATTGCATTCATCGCGACACTTTGTCGCTGGCACGCCTTGCCTTGCCAAATGAGCTGCTTCCAAAATCCCATCACCTATTTAGGTAGCTGGTTCCACAATTCGCATTCGTACGGGGTTCTGCTGAGGGGGCCTTGCTTGGGCATCTATGACCCTTGATGAAGCTTATCTTGCTGAGACCTTGTCTTTGGAGAGTTAGTACGGAATCATCCAATCCTCCTTTCGCACTTCTTGGGCAGTGCGTCAAATAAAGGTGCATGCCGCATGCCTCAAAATGTGTGGCTTCATGCTGAAATGATTTGAACCTGGTTTCTTGACGACATCGCCATCCACAATGGCCCCAGTGGACAGAAGACCCCGAAAGCAAAACCACTTCCCAACAGAAGCGCGTGTTCAATACTTTTGGTTGGGAACATATTTAAGATGTTTCGCGATTTGCCCTTTTCAGCCCACGCCACACAGCTGGATATGTGTTGAATGCATTCTGCCCAAACAGCTAGAAGAGCGGAATGAATGCAAGTATGAGCAAGCTTTCAGCAGCTTGCAGCCGAAGCTTAGCTCGCTGATTGCAGTCCAACCGATTGCTCGTCCAGTCTGCCAGGTAGGAAGAAAGCTCGGGCTTTGGTTGTGGAAAGTTGGGTTTTCGGATGATTATTTGTGATACCAAATTCACTATCTTTTTGGTTAACAAGTAGCCAGAGGGGATAGCGGGGAAGAAGAGACGCGAGACACAGGGGAAACAAGAGGAAATGGGGCAACAATAGCAGTTGTTGCTCTTGTCCCATTGCATGGCACAGCAACACACAGTGGTTTCCGAACTAAACATGGTTTACCCCAAGACCTGTTCCCTTTTTCTATTTTCCCTGGGGTGGGAGGCTTTCGCATTGATAGTTGGGTTCCCTTTTGTTTGGTGGCCTTTCCGATGTTGCTGTTGCCCACCACAATTATATTCATGTTCAAAAGACACCCCCTTTTTTCTAGAGCAAGTCTAGCCAGGCGAAGACGCAGTCTTCGGAGCATCAGGCCCGCATCTCGCACGAACAAGTCCCTCCGAGGCCCCAGGAAAGCTTTGAGGGAGCAACCAAATGCCCAGGCCTAGGTAGATTTGTGCCGGGGTGCCCCTCGAAAGGGGGCGGAGAAGGGGTGTTGGGTGGCCATGATTGTGATTGTTATAGTTTGCCTTCGCCCTGAGTTCTCCAAGCATGTGCTGCTTGCTTTTTTCTGTTCTTGTCGTTCTTTTTTCGGGGGGAAACACCCCTTTTGAGTTACAGTAAAGCTTGTCTGAGAAGAGTTTCATAATTGGAAGCCATATGGACTGGCGAATGTGGGCAGGTGACCTAGTTGTAAACAGGGGCGGGGAGGGGGGTCGGTTTTTGAGCCACGGCCATGTCTGCAGTCCTTACAGCAAACACGGATCGGGGGTAAAACAAACGACTTACCCCATGATGGTCACTGAGGCATTCCAACAAATTATGTTTGGTGAGTTATAGTAGCTACCGCAGATTGGCTTCACCCTTGGTTGTGAAAAGATGGGGGGGGGGCGTTTGACCGCATTGGCTCCTTTCGGGACACAACAAGCTGAATCGCCGAAGGAACTCCTTGAAGGTCATGTTTGGACATGCTTTGAAATTTGCTCGGCCCTTTCTCCTTTCATAAACTTCTCGGCAATGCAACATGCGTGTGTTTGTGTGTTTGCGTTTGCCAGCAAACAATCGGGGCAATAGCCAACAAGGTTTGTTGCGCTGATTCAAGCTGATTCAGCAATGCAGCAGCCTACCCAAGCTTTCCCAGACTCAAAGAGCAACGAGCGGTGAGGCATGACTGTCCTAAGGTTACAACAGGTTTCGAAGTGGCAACTCTGCTTTGCGGCGTTGCTTAGCGTCAGTAGCCCTTTTCCGGATAATCTGGAACCCAGGGCAGACCTACCAATTCCGCGGATCCCCAAGTTGGCGGAGGGTGTCATTTTCAATTGAGGTCTGTTCGAATTCCCCAAGGTTCATGGGGATGATCCCAACCCAAACCCATCCGTCTAGAAAATGGTTTAGATGTCCTTTTTGCAGATTCTAGCACTTTTTCAACAGCATACAGGAGATTCACAAAAGGCCGCATCCAAACTGTTTCGTTGAATCCCTCGTGTTTTGTTGTTCTTTTCGTAGCTTCCCCGATCAGGGAGTTATTGATACTCTGAAATGGCGGTGGCAGTGTCGCAGGCTCTGATATCAACAGGCGTCGAGGAGGCTGGTGAGGCTCTGGCGAAGGGCTCGAATTGCCAGGGTGGATGGCGGTCGGCTGTTCAGCCAAGGTTGCCGGCTGTTCAGCCAGAAACCAAAGTCTTAAGGAGTCCTGACAGCTTCCATGTTAGCCTGGAGGGTAGCCCTTCAAAGGTTTCATTCCAAGCACTCTTTGGTCTCCCTTTGGGTTTGGCCGCAACTTCTGCTTGGGAAAGGGACTGGAGCACTGAGACTGCAAGGCGTGACAGCACGACTAGATGCGCAGATTTGCATGAGTATCTCTACTGGTGTTGGTCACATGTTCAGAGGCTGTTTTACAGTTTGTACTCCAGTTTGTAGCATGTAAGAACCTCCAAAATATGTTGCTTTCCACTGGCGTGCAGAACAGTGGAGCATTTTGCACTGTTCTGGGTGCCCAAGGATTGTTTGAAAGATGACTTCACTCGAGCTACACGTCATTGTTCTGGTTTGGTGTGTTTTGTTGCTTTTGCGATCGAGCATGCAACGTTCGACTGTTGAGCCTGCATAAGTTGGACATGTTATTATTTTGTTTTAGTGGCCAAGGTCCATGTGTTTGGTCTGACCGTGCAAAACCACAGTTTGCCTGGGGATGTGCCCCCTACTCGTACAATATATTGTCTTTGAAATCTAGGTACCAAACTATGCATGTGGCATTCAGGCGCATATAGGAGAGGAGTTAGCGAAATACACGAGGGGCATACGAGGTGGCTACTTTTTTTTTGCCGGTAGACATTTTGTACGGGGTCTGCAACAAAGCCGCCGCGGACATTCGTGACATACAGTACCACGTTACATACTCTGTTTCTTGCAACAAGACCTGCTGGCTCGCTGCATACCCCTTGTTCAACCGACGGCAATCTTAAATCCGGGGATCGGTGAGTGACATACGAGTCACACGCTGGGTATGGCCTTTGGATATGTTTCCTGTCTTGTTTTAATTGACCTGTCTTTGTTAGCTTCGATTTCCAGCGAAGCTGTGACTTTGCAAACATCTACAGTGTTTTATCATCTTTTACAGGCCGTATTTGGCGCCGCGGTCTTGTCGGAGTGTTTTAACGCCACAGCAACATGTTTTGGCGGCAGGCTCATTTGCTGTGTGTCCTGAATGTCTTTGTGTTGTCTCGGCTCGCGGCTTCGCTTTCAATACTTGCCAAAAGAGGTGGGGTGCCCTGAAAACACAGCTCATTTTGCAAGCGTGCCCAAGGATGGATGTGTTGTTCTCAGTCCCTGGCTTCTTTGGCCCCTTTTGACGCAGCTTGCTTGTTCTTGATAGAGAGTATGGGACTAACTCCCAAACTTGCTGGTTCTCGGCAGATGAGGGAAATGACCCCTCATCTCCACTGCTTCAGCTGGAGGCCGAGCACGAACAGCTCTTCTCTCGCGCGCTGGCCTGACTCCAAGATGAACATTGCTCACCAGTCTAGCGAGAATCCTTTCGGTATGTGTCCACAAGAGGTTTGTTGTAAGCCCCCTTGAGATGCGCCCAAACCTCCTGCATGGGCATTGCCATCCCTGGTGTTATGTATATAGTGTCGTCTTCCTACCAAGCCTCACCAGGTCTCGCCCGAAAGAGGTCATCAAAGATTTGCAACTGCTTGAAGCCTTGGTTTCGTTGTGTGCCGCATTTTGCAGACGTCTTTTGAAAAAGAAAGTATACAGGTGTCAATCAAACTAGAGCTTCCCAAACACCGCCAATGTGGGTCCCTTGCGCATTTGGATTGCTTGTGCCATGGTCAAGCACGCTATTCCTGGGTTGACAGGGGTGGGTCGTCAGCCATTTATTCAACAAAGGCCCAACAGAACTGCCCTACCAAGCTATGGCAAGCTCACCGAACCTTCTTGTAAAACAAGTTGGGGCCGCATGGACGAATGTTTTGTAGCATTGATGGAGTATGTTTGTCAGGGTTTTGCTAGAGGACCCCATGGCAGTTGATCTCATCCACATCTAGCCCGGAAATACCCAAATGCATTGCGACGAATTGAATTCCACAGCCTTGAATAGGGTTTGTCTTGGAGGACGCCCCTGCAAGAAGAGGGAGCAACCGAACTGATAAAAACAGACTGAGCTTTGTGCCAACCGTTAAGGTGCGACTCAAGGGCCTGCTTTTATTGCTGCAATACAAACGTGAGTTGTGCATTCAGAGTGACGGCGCGCACTAAGCCACTCGAAAATCAGGAAATGGGAGCCGCTGTCCAGTATTTGAAGGAAATTCCCTTCAAAGTGACCAAGTAGTCATGCCTCAGAGAGGTTTATTTTGCACAGCCAGGTTGAGGGTTGGTCTTCTGAATGGGCCACTCTGAATGTTACCGGACTTTCGGGTGTTGTGAGGGCGACTTGATCAATCTTCATCAATCGGGGGACAAGCGGGTTCAAACAAATCGGGTTGCAGCTTGCACTGGGAAGCATGTCTTGCATCCTAGAGCCCATTTGTTAGAGCCGAGTACATGGGTGACCGTGGTGTTTTTGCAAGCCATGTTGCTTCAAGCAGTGATAGCGCAGAAGATAGCGTACATTCGTTTCATTCGGCTTGCCGGCCATGGACGGGATCTGGAGTATATGAGTTTGAAGCCTTTCATAGAAGTGGATCCCTTGTACTTGCACTCATTGCGTCATACATTGACAACCGCCCCAGATCTGACGCGTTCCAGGCGTTCGTTAGAGAAACCGGTCTTCTTGAGCATGGGTCACAAGAGAGCCCCGCCACCAACTGAGTCGGCGAAAGAAATCATCAGTTCTGGCATCTTGAGCAGGCTCCAGCGACACAAGAAAAGGAAAGCTGAGTCTGTTCTTGGACGGCAACGAGTCTTGGGATAGCTCAGCAGAAGCAGCTGGCTTGACGTGGGTGAATCCCATGCACGTCGTGCATCGGGATGGAGAGCCTTTGCGCCCGTTGAAGCGCAAGAGCACCTTGGACACTGGAACCATGTCTATAGACGCAAGATGGCGCTCGCTTCACAGGTATCTTCCGCAGGGGCTGAATGCTCGCTCCTAACAATCGGAGCCTCAACTCCTGCCCGGCGCAACTCTGCGAAGCGAAGCGAGGGATGTCATCATGCCCCCCCACCCCCCCCCCCGACCCCAACGAAAGGAAGAGAGTTTAGGGTCGGCCCAAATGGAGGAAACACCCACGGTCGTGTATCTACTCGGTGCCATTCAGTCGGTTACCCAAATCCGTAGCCAAGCTGTCTCTCAGGTTCTCAGCGTGGTAACGAAGATGCGCATCTCGGCCTGGGCGGGCCCAAAGCCGACCTGTTATCCTGTTAATCTTCTGGTTTTCCGGTTTTCCCGGTTTGGTTCACACTTTGTCATGGCCCCAAAAGGTTAACCTTTTAGTTTCAGGTCCTTTGGGCAAGTAAGGAACCCAACTGCCAAGAGAATGTTCATTTGGAATTGGGCTTGTTTGGGTGCTGTTAAAAGCTGGAATATAAGGAGTCTGTTGCGTGCTCTGGAAGCAAATGTGGTGGACCTGATCTGGGGAAGCAACCCGGGCGGGTCTGGAAAGGAGTGGCCAGGATGCGCGGCCGAAGCATGAACGTGGGTGTGCTCTTTGCTGACGGCACCCCTAGTTTGGGGGAGGGTAAAGGGAAAAGGGCCCCACTCTTTTTGGGGCGCCGTTCTCCGACCAAAGAACATCCAACAAGAAAGCATCCATTCTGGGGCTTCATATCCCATCGGGCGACAAAACCAAATGTTCATGGACAATTGGGCGACGGTCCGCTTGCCAGGTACGGCGTTCCGCCAGTTTGATTCTGTAAGTGATGTTGAGTAGACTGACTCCTTGCATTAGATGATAATAATTTGTTTTGTGGCCTTCTTTCCATCCCGAATGGGTTCCTTGGCTGTTTCCTGGGGAGGGGTTAGGAGCAAATGGGGCTGACCTTTGGAGAGGGCAACCATGGATTTGTGTGGGCTTCGACGAGCAATGACTTGTCGCCCTGCCGTGACGCGACCTAAGGATACTACATGTGCAACTTGGTGGTTGGAAGGGCGGGGGAGCGAGTGAGTGCTTGAAGCGCAGTGCTTTTTTTGAACGACCAGTTGTCAAAGAATGCTTATTTGGCCATTGAGACCCAGGGGTGATGTTTCGCTTCACTGTTGTTGGCAAGTTTTAGGCTTTTGGTTTTGGTTTTGTTCATTTTAGACCAAGGGTTGCAAAGTTAAAAGTGTGTGAACAGTTGGCTAGCGCCATCCGTTCAAAGAAATGCGAGACGTGCAGAGCGACCTTGAACGACTAGCCCTGCCGCTCGCTCACTCCTGAGGAGTTGAGAAGCCCAGGCTTGATGTTTGTGTTCTTACCAGAGATGAAAGCACCGAACATAGATGGTCGCGCATTTTTGACAGTATCCAGGCAGTATCCATTGTTTAGTGGCTAAAGGAAAACCACAGGAGCAGTCCCATGAAAAGCACACGCAGAATAAAGAAGCGTAAACAAACCTTAGGTAACGCTTATCCTGCATATGTCGGCTTTGGGATCTAGAAGTCTTTGGGACAAAGCTGTGTGTCAACGTCAATGAATACCGATGGAGAAATTATCATTCAGATACAGTTGCCATAGAGATGGGATATAGTCTGGGTGCTAAATTGCCGTATGATTGTATCTCATAGTAAGCCAAAAAGGACATGCGTGTTTCTTCCAATGTGTGTCGGCTAGCTATGCATGTATCATGGGCATTTGCCCTCTTCTTGGGTAAGCATTACTCGCCAGCTGATCCAACATCCCTTTGATGGTGGCGTGGTCCTAGAACTATGATAGGTGGGCGTCAAGTTTGTTTGGAGCGGTGGGAACAGGTTTGAAGCCCCTATATGTCCAAGCCCCGCGTGTCCCAAACCCGCCCAGAACTGGAGGGTAGATTTGCCAGAGGCTGTTTTCAATTCAGGAGACACCTGGACCCCCTGCCTGGGGGGGGCCTATGTTTTCTCCCTACAAGTTTGGAGAGAGGCAGATTACAGCTCCATTATATACAGCATGAGGCCATGCCAATGACGTGGACACAGTGTTCGACAAGCCATTTGGCCTGCACTTTCTGGGAGGAGTGGAGCAGCTGCTCTGTCCTTGCAACGCAGATAGTTGCGTGTCAAGAGTGTTGGTTTTTTAGATGTTGCTTTGTCCTTGTTTGAGCTTCACGAGTCACGTGTATTCTTTCAAAGCTCTTTGGTGTTTGGTCAGTTGATTGAGGAACCGTCAACAATCACTGTTGTCTGTGGTATTGGGTGCTTTGCTGATACTGGGAAATGCACAAAACCATGGCAAGCAATATAATATAGGGGGACATTCAAAAGCGCGATACTTATGGCCTGTGTTCGGACAGCTGATTCCTTGCACGGCAATGGGCAATGGGTGGACCTTTCAATGCCTGATTGTGATTATGGCTATTATGTCAGCGATCGCAGACTTGTTGGTCATTGATTGGGACTGTCTCGCGGGGCCATACGTTTTTCTTCGGCACATCGGCCCAATGGCCCAACCACCGTGAAAGTGCTGACTTCACCAGCAGCTCTCACCAAAAAGCACGGAAAAACAAGCAGTTTAACCGTAAGAATACGGGTTGTTTCCAAGGCTCAGTTGCAGGTGCTTAAGCACAGATCTTAGTCCTTGTTTCCATTTACCAGGCACCCCAGTTTCGGGTCACCCTATTTTTGACCCTCACCCATTTACTAGGTTAGGTCCTCACGGTTTGCGCTAAAAAGTGGAACCCTGGCCTAGCGTTATTCAGCCTGCTCAGAGCTGGATTTCCTCCCGATGCTTGCCAGGGAGGGCCAGGGTTCCTAATTTCGGCGTGAACTGGGTGGACTCAAAGGCAGTGAATGATTTCCCTTTTGGGGAAGTTCACCCCGGAAAGATGCTCGAGTCGATCGTGGGTGTTCTCAAAATGAGAACAGCGCTGAGGTTCGACCTCAACCAAGACGACTTCCTTGACGCCAAAGAGCTGCAAGCAGCCTTGCAATTCATCGAGGACGCAGTAAGTGGGTGACGACAAGGGACATGTCCTTTGGCTCTATAGTTGTGGCTCGTTTTTTTAGCTTGACTTTTGTGTGAAAGTGCTTGTCAGAGCTTGGAGGTATGCTACTTCATGTGCCGGCAGGGGGTATATGTTCCGCGAGTGATTGAAACATTGCGTCTAGGACCGCTTCCAGCCGAGTTTCAGTTTTTGGCGCGGCGACGTGTCAGCGGGACGTGTAGTTGGAACTCTAACCAGCCCGCCCAAAGCGAATCCGGAGACCCCAGGTCTGGCTGTCGCGACGCGAAAAGGCTATACGGTGATTTCCAGGTTCTTTGGTTGGAGTTTCTTGTTGGCCAACATGACCTTTTCTCATCACGCAAGCGAGTTGTTTTTGAGCCACGATTATAACCTGGGTAAGTGAAGCAACAGTAAGGAGCAGTGACCAGGAATAGGGGCAACCGCTCTCTAGCTTCTTTGCGTGGTTTCGGTTAATAAAACGGGCTAAAGAGTTTTACTCAAGAGTGCCCATGCGCTTGAGGTGCCTTGGGTTGATAGTACCCCACAACTCCATTAACACAAGATTCCAGCCGTCATAGTAGACCCGCTTTCCATCTTGACTGAATTGGCGGTTTGGCAACCTGAACATGAACCCGGAGATCCCACCAAAGCAGAACAATCTGGGTGTGATGAAACTCTAACGGGCAGCATGGATCGTTTACCAATCATAGATTGCAACAGATACCTTTGTGAACATCTTGCACCTTGGAGCCAAACCCCCCCCTCCCCCCCCCCCGTGCCGCAAATCCCCAGTCAGCTAGGACAAGGGCGGAGATCGAGAAAAGCTGCTCGGCAGGGGAAGCCACAGATAACATGGATTTCTTGATTGCTATTGGGTTGGATCTTTCGATTTGAACTTGCTGGTTGTAGGATTTGCCGTTGGACCTACAAAAAGTCAAGCTATTTGTTTTGCATAGGGGTCAACAGCAACCAAGCAAGAAACTTCATGAAGCTGGGATAGGGGCCATCAGAAACCCGTGGACTTGAAAGGGTGTTGGCCAGCGAAACTCAGGGGAACTGGAGGATACGATGCTGGCAAAGCTGTTTGGTTCCATAGCGTTCCCACTTGGACTCCTGTCGAGATGTAACATGTGATGTGATCTGTGAAGACAAACTTGGTTGTCTCGCTGGTTCGATTTGCAGGGAATGAGGGAATGACCCCGAGAAAACCCATCCCCTGGTTTCCTTTAAGGGAATCTCTGCAACACCCTGGGTCATTCCCTACTGAGCACCAGCAAGTTGTTTCTTTCCAAAGCATGGTGCAGCCTGTGAGCTGAGTAACAGACTCCTTGGCATCGCAGCTTTGGTAGCACAAATACTTCGCCCATGTTGACAGTCAGTAACCTTCTTTTTTTCAGACTGGCTTTGAGTACCACCAGCAAACATAGAAAGAACAAACTCTTATTGAGTCATGGAGGTGCACAGACCCTTTTTTAGGTCAGACTGCGTTTCTTTGAACATTTTTTGGGGAGCCTGGCTTCCACATTGTGTTTCTGGCTTAATTAAAGCATCGGCCTCAGGTATTTGGGTATTGAATGGCAGGCATAGCAGCTGTGTTGCTTGGCTTCGCTTCCTTTGTTATTCTCCAGCCTCATGCTGAACACGACACTTAAGTTCTAGTTTTCCACGGCTACTAGGCAACTCAGGATGAAGCTCAAGCCTATCAGCTGCAAGCGGGAAACATGTTTGGTCTTTCGCCGCCCAGTTCAGTAATGTTAATGGAGCAATGGCGGGTCTAGCAAGGGCAGATCTTACGTCGCCTCCATGAGTCCGAGAAAGATGGACATGAGGTCCTTCACCTGGTCCCAGGTCCTATGGTTGCCAGTGCAGCATAATGGGTAGGAGCCAAGGTTTCGCCTGAAAATCGATGTTGATTCTGATTGGGGGAGCCCTGTGGTGGACATCGTTTATATCGGGATTTATGTCCGATTTACAGCCATGTGAGCCACAATCAGAACCAAGGCAAGTAAAGGTTAGTGAGTGAGGGACAGTCCCAATCATAAACAGGTTCGGCCAATGGGTGTGGCCCCCCGCCCCCCCGTTTGATGAGATGTGCATGCTTTGGGCAGACTCCTTTCATGCACGAATTTGTTTAGGTTTCATGTATGTTGCATCGGTGTCTTGTGCAATTGCTTATGCCCCGGACCTGACATCATCTGATCAGACGCCACAAGTCGCCAGCCTGGGGGTTCGATTTTCAAGGAACAAGTTCTAGTCAAACTTCCTTTGATACGCCGAAAGGAAGCCACCAGGAGTCCTTTCTGAAATCTTCAAAGACAAATGACCAGGCGAGTTGTGTGGTTTATCCCATGAGTTAAAGAATCGGGAGTGAACTATTGGCCAGTCCAACTCAGACGACTGATTGTTTTCTTCGGGTTCAACTTCTTTGTCGACGGCGAAGCTCTTTGACGTTAAAACTGGATATGTTGTTTTGCAATCCATATGCGCGATGAGCTTAAACAAAAATCATCCAGGAGCCGCTGCGAGAAGCAAAACAAAAGTATCATGTACGTTGAAGGTCGCAATTCACCCGCTGACTATGTTTTGCTACTTGCGATATTGTGCATTTCAACACTCAGGAGATAACGCGATCCTCAAAGCTGGCAACCCATTACCCTAAAGAGCGTCCACTGGCTTTGGCATCTTTGTGCACCCGATGCCAAGAACTTGACACAAGGCAATCAGTAGCTGCGTTTGTCCTCGGCACCCTAGGCGAATATGAGTAAATGCTGCAGTGTTTGCACGGAAACGTGCAATCATGTTTGAGATAGTCATGCTGCTTTGCGCGGTTCTTGCGCTTTTTTTGTTTTTGATATGTGGCAAGCCAGCTCATGTCCAAGGTCCTGAGATGAGCTGCTTTCGAATGATGCGGTAGCCGGGGCATTGGCCTGTCATCACGCCTCACGCCTGAGGTTCGGCGTCCTGATCCCGGTGGTTGTGACCAGTGCGGCTTGGTCAAAAAGAGCAGGCCTTGTTTGGACCCTGCGACCTCCCTCAAAGCAAAAGGGGCGATCAAGGGGCCCCCCAACCACTGGGTTCCCGTACTTGGAATTTTGGACATGTGGCAAGGGCACCCGTCGTTTGTCCATGGGGACCCTTTCTTTTTGGACCCGCAGGATTTCGAGTCGGCTTTTTTGTTGGCGCTAGGAGGATGTTCGGTGGGTCCTCGCGCAGTGCGACACGGTGAAGGGCCGTGTTAGCAGAGAGGAGGCTGAACGGGAGAGCCGGGGCGAGGGCGTTTTGGACTTGAATGCCTTCTAAATATCATGACGCACGTCCTTCACCTTGGGCATTTTCTTATTTCAGGTTTGGGATTACTTTGTTATTGGCCCCCAAGCTCCATAAAGGGTCGCTCACGCGCTCGGAGACCCAGATGAAGTTTTTTTTGTTTGGGATTGCTGTAGAGCTGGCAGATATGTTGTTTCGACCAGTGTCACCGGACTGAGGAAAAATGACGGCCCTAGAACCAAAGGAAACCCACCATAAAATGGGGACTTCATTTAACTTCATTTGATTGGTGGCTCCCAGCCATCCCCTTAGGTTTTGTTTTTAGTTTCTAGGTTTTAGTGGGGGTTTTCATGTGACCCACTAGAAGTGGTTCACCTTTAGCGGGGCATCTGAGATCCTTCCTTCCAGTGAAACGACCCGCTCGAGGCGGTGGTGGCCATGGCCATGTGGCACGCCCTGGCGGACAACAACTTCGCGCAGCAGCGCTTTGGCCGAAGGAAGGGTTTGAACTTTACAAAGCTATCGGATCTATCGGGCAGCGGATCTTTAGACTTTAACTTTTTGGTTGAAATCAAGTTGGGTTTGCCACTAAGCCCCCAAAAAGTTGAACTTTTTGCAGGGGGCTCAACAGCTACCAAGTGAAGTCTGAAGGTTTGGCTTGGTGCCACAGGTAGGGAAGGACCGAGTCCGGGTGGGAATGAACCCTTCTTGGGGGATTCCCGAAGAAAGGAAATGGACAAGGAATGGGTTATGGGGTTCATTCCCCTCTTTCCCTGCTGAGAACAAGCAAGTACATGCATGTACCAAAAAACGGGCGCATCGTTTTGTTGTTGGTTTCTTGGGGAATGAAGCACCACAAAAGCGCGGGAGGGGCGTTGTTTTGGTGTTTTTTGTCAGGGCTGATCTCGGGTAGATCCATATGTTGGGTTTGAAGATCAGAGATAATTTCTTGGGCTTCACACCCAAGCGAACGGGTGCTTCCATTGGGAACCCCCCCGCCCCGGGGTGTTGGGTTGCCCAAGGGCCAAGGAACCACTTGAAATGGCGTAGATCTGCTCCAAATTCTTCTTTGGAGCCCTCCAAAGTGGTTGGACATGAATCCCCGATGTCCATCTCAGGTCCAGATGCTGCTGCCTGCAGTGAAAGCGACGTGAGGACCTGGCCGAAACGGCCGGGTCCCGGCCGGGTTTTTGTTGCTGGTTCTCATGCTGTGTTTTTGGAGTCGGTTCCCAGTTTGAGTTGGTTTAAAGGGACACGAACAGGAAACCGAGGACCATTTTGGGGCTCCCCCTATGTCAAGACATGCCTGGTAGGAAATGAGAGGATGACGTTGGAGGCGAGTTAAGGAGCTGTGGAGATACCACGAGTTCTGTATAAGGGCATGGTACCACCCTGAAGTAAAGCCATCCCGGGCTTCCGGTTTTCAAGGCTACGAGCTTCCCAAACGGTTCATCCCCAAACCTATCAAGTGAGTCCCAGCTGAGAACCAGCAAGTCTTTAAAGGACCAGGGTTCGTGTTCATTGGACTTACTTCTGCCTTTGAACTTGTTTGAATACCGGAAGACCACTTTGAGCTTATATAGGTGCAATGTTTGCCTTTCTCGTGTGATGCAGTTGGTGTCCTTTGCAGTTTTCGTGCATGAATATGTATATACATATATACAGGCAACAAGTACAATTAATACGGTTCCTACGGCTGGGACGCTGACCTAATATGGACCAAAGTGACTAGGCAACACATGCAATTGGAAGTCTGAACACAACCCGCGTGATGTGAGTTCATCACTTTTTGAGCCCGCTTGATTTCCCATTGAACGACGTGATACGTCGAGGGGAATATCGATAAGCATTTTTGTGGGAGACAACCTGCAAATTCGGCCTTTGCGCCTCGCCAAACGGCGAGAGGAAAAGGGACGGCTGGTGCGATTCAACCTGGCATAATCTCTATGAACCAGGAAGCAGGGAGGAACAGCCATTAATAATTCTGGGAATACCAAGCCCATTTGTACAGGGTGGAACCTCCACGCGTCGTAGGGTTCTCGCCTCCCTGAAAAGGATTTCGGAGCGGCTTTAGGGTAGACGCTGGCAATTCTTGAGCGAGAGATTAGTAAGCTTAGTCCTCGTCAAGCTTTGGTAGACAAGGACAGCCTTGTAGTGGGTCAGTAGCGTCCAATAGTGACTCAATTTTGACTCGACAGCAGTCAAAATTATCCCTTATACACACATGCATTTCCCCTTCTCTCTTCCAGAGCCAGGTAAGCACTCAAGCATCTACACAAATGCAGATACACATTATATATATATATATACACACATACACCTACATACATACCTATATATAAAGATATATGCACGTATATACATGCGATTCGGCGGTCAAAATTACCAGTAGTCTATCGTCCATTTGGGAGGGACATGTGGCATTCACTCAATTTCGGGGAAACCTGTGTAGTTTTGACCGCTCAGAGGCTGCTATCCCTTCTTTCCTGGCTGCCCAGCGTCAAACCAAACACCGGGTGCTGAATTGCCCAGAATGTTGAATTTCCCCCCACGTTTTTATTTTTATTTTCCGGACTCCCTATTTCACACCCAGACAAGCAGGGACTGTGGGCAAACTGCTTGGCTCTGCATGTATCTGGGCTTCTCAAGCGCACGCAGGGCTTGTTTCAAGGTTTTCCTGATTGAAATCAAATCCAGCATCAAGCGTGCAATTTTTTGCGGGCATCCGTGTCACCGTCGTGAAACTGTCATGAACCTACCCCTTGCTGCCGCCTGGGACATCTCGCCGCTTCTGGCCTGAAATGAGCCGGTGGCCACGATGCTGTGAACCGGATATTCCAGTCCCGTTTTGGCTTCCCTCTCTTCTTTTAGGCCCCCCACGAAAGGTAGTTGTCATTTGGGTTTCCCTTTAAAAACACACCCACAAAGGCCCTGTCTGGCGGGGATCTCTAATCCTAGTCCGCATCCGAAGCGGGACACCGCTGAGAACCCAGCTGGCAAGATCCCCTGAACAAGGCGCTAGAGTTGGTAGCCCTGCGAGTTCCTTGCCTCTAGGTTTTACATGATCCGCTGGATACCTATAGTGAGATCGAGGTGCAAGCCACAGGGTCCGAGCCTCACACAAGATACGGGTGCTTCCCCATTTTTCCGTGGTGCCCCTCTTCAGGGTTGCTGAGCAAACAGCGCGGACCCATCCATTTTGAGGGGTTCTGACATCTGCCAAACTTTGCGTTGCTCATGTCGCTCTGGGCTCCTCCGCTGGCGCCGCTCTGGCGCCACTCCCCGCCCGCGCCGCGCGCGCTGAGAGCGCCGCGCGCGCTGAGAGCGCCGCGCGCGCTGAGAGCGCGGAAGGCCTGGGCCAGCGCAGAACTCCCGGAAAATTGGTTGATCCCAGTTGCCCAGTGGTGCCCTTTTTTCCTCTTTTTGAGAAAGGGCTCCCTTTTAAAATCAATCAACCCAAAAAAAGATGCGCTTTTTTCCAATGGCCTCCGGGCATCTGAGTGATTGTTTGGCTTGGCCGAAAAAGTGTTTTTTTGTGTGTGTGTGTGTGTGTGTGTGTGTGTGTGTGTGTGTGTGTGTGTGTGTGTGTGTGTGTGTGTGTGTGTGTGTGTGTGTGTGTGTGTGTGTGTGTTGTGTGTGTGTGTGTGTGTGTGTGTGTGTGTGTGTGTGTGTGTGTGTGTGTGTGTGTGTGTGTGTGTGTGTGTGTGTGTGTGTGTGTGTGTGTGTGTGTGTGTGTGTGTGTGTGTGTGTGTGTGTGTGTGTGTGTGTGTGTGTGTGTGTGTGTGTGTGTGTGTGTGTGTGTGTGTGTGTGTGTGTGTGTGTGTGTGTGTGTGTGTGTGTGTGTGTGTGTGTGTGTGTGTGTGTGTGTGTGTGTGTGTGTGTGTGTGTGTGTGTGTGTGTGTGTGTGTGTGTGTGTGTGTGTGTGTGTGTGTGTGTGTGTGTGTGTGTGTGTGTGTGTGTGTGTGTGTGTGTGTGTGTGTGTGTGTGTGTGTGTGTGTGTGTGTGTGTGTGTGTGTGTGTGTGTGTGTGTGTGTGTGTGTGTGTGTGTGTGTGTGTGTGTGTGTGTGTGCGTTGATTGTGGTTCCCCACCCGACAGGAAGGGGCTGTTAGATTTTATGTTGGAATCCACGTTCGCGATGCTTCTACACCACGCCCCCACCCAGTATCCCGCCAGGGCAGCTTGCCAGTGGATCCCGCCAGAGCAGCTCACCAGTGGATCCCGCCGAGTATCCCGCCAGAGCAGCTCGCCAGTGGATCCCGCCGAGTATCCCGCCAGAGCGGCTCGCCAGTGGATCCCGCCGAGTATCCCGCTGGATCCCGCCCAGTATCCCGCCGCCAGTGGATCCGGCCGAGTATCCCGCTGAGTATCCCAGACTAGCTTCCGCCGAGTATCCCGCTGAGTATCCCTTGCCGGTGGATCCTGCCGAGTATCCGGCCAGTATCGAGCCGGAGCGGCTCGTCAGTATTCGTCAGTGGATCCCGCCAGTATCCCGAGCAGCTCGCCAGTCTGGTTTTGCTTAATGTCCAAAAGGGCCGATGGGAATTTGGGGTCGAAGTCTCTAGGATGCGGAGGAATTTGTTGTAACGGCTGTAAGCTGGTGAGTGTGGAGGGTGGGGATTGCTCGAAGCGAAGTAATTGTTTTGTTGTTTTGACCTTTGGGAACCTACCGCTCCGGTTCTGATGAAAAGGATGGTTTCACCAGAAGCAGCGAACAAAAAGTGTCACTTGCTGGGGGTGGTTGCGAAAGTGCGACTCCATTTCTCACCCGACGCGTGGTTTGCATTGACCAAACTGGTGTTCCAGCCTGGGTCCGTAAGTCATAGCCCCCTAGAAAGTTCACAGCGCCATAGGCTTAGGTCCAGTTCTTTTGGAGTGTAGAATCAGATCCCAGGTTGAGGACAGGTGCAACACGTGGCCGCTGGTGTCATTGGATGATCCAAGGAATCCAGGCAGTCAATATTCAGAAGCTGGTTGTTTTGAATATTGACATCCATGATGATGTTGAGGTACTCCGATGATGTTTTAAACTCTTGCGTACATGATATGTGCATATCATCCATGGTTAGGCTATGCATCCAATGTCCGTTTGCCTTGTGTTGAATGGTGCTAGCCGCACAAACAATATCGTGTATCCAAGACATAGCAGGGCCCCACAATCAGAGCTGGGGCCCTTGCAGCCGCATTTGCGGGGTTTTCCCTCAGAAATGCTGGCTTTGGATCCGGTGGAATCAAACGTCCTCTGCTTTTCGGCATCACCCAAAACGGGTGCTGCCTCTTGGAACGGCTGTTTTCTTGGTGGCACCTGCAGGTCCGCCGAGAGCCCCAGACCGAGACCCCCGCATATTATTTGCTGTGGTCCCCGGGCATGTGCAGGAGGACGCGACAAGAGAGAAAGAGAGAACGAGAGAGAGAGAGAGAGCCTCATGTTTTGTATCTTGATTTCGATTTTGTAGCGGATCTTCAGGATGGCGAACACCAAGCCATCCATCGGTCAGAATGTGTTACGCAGCTTGATTTCGATTGGGCTGGATATTTTAACTTGTTCATTGAACCAGGTGGGGTTTTCCATTGGACCCACCATAAAGTATTGAGGTACGCGATCTTTAGACTTGAACTTGTGGGTTGAAACAGATGGGGGTTTTCCGAAATCGACCCACGCACAGTTGAACTTTTTTTTGTTGGGCCCTTGCAGCGCGAAACTTGCTTATGGAAGGTTTGCAATGTATTAAATTGACTGGTTCATGTGAACAGCAACACCTTTTCAAGTTTCCGTTTTCACGATTGGCTCAACCTTTGACAGCATCTTGCTTCTTTGCAATTTTCTAGAATGTGAGCCTGCAAAGATCCTTCCGGGTCGAGCATTGGTTCCCTTGACCACTCACAGCTGCCAACACACGTAGTACATGGGTGGGCAACCCATGCTTCAAGCCATGGCCCCCTCAATGGAAACCAAGAGGTTGTTTGGATTTGGGTGAAACTACAACGGTCCAAAGGTCGTTCGAATGCACGTTTTTTTAGAGGGAGTACCCCTTCATCAGAGTTTTTAAGGGACACCAAAAGGAAACCACCATGCTGGAGCGGTCCCCTAGCAAAAAGGCACACCCACATGTTTAACCAGCTCAACCAGTTGTCGCACCATATATGATTTCGGGGGAATGCAGGACAGCGCTCTGCTTTTTGGGCGCTCTGGCATTTCGGCTCAGCGGCTTCTCCGCCTTGATCCTTGGACTTGATTCGGAAAGAGCCCCGTTTTTCAATAAGACTCACTTCCCGAGTTCCTGGACTTTAAGCATTTTCGGGAAGACCATTCTAGTGGTAAGCAAAACGTTTGGACTTTGTTTGGCCCATCAGCTCAGGAAAGGAGAAACAACGACACCCAATGCGTTTTGTTGATACAAATGAAGTTGGCGTTTAGAATTTGGATTGGAGATTGAGAAGTTGGAGACGTTTAGTGGTGGCTCGAAGCAACATACAAGTTTGAGCTTTTGAAAGCCTAGGATTTGAACCAGTAGGTTTCTTATGCCAGGTATCATTGCAATCTGTTTCTACTTGCGGTTTTGATGGTCTTGGTTTGAATTTGTCGGCGTACATTCCAGACATTTGACAAATGGCAAGCAGGAGTCTCTGTTTATCGACTTTGAGCAGAGAATTTGGACGAGTTATTTAAAGGGAGAGACAGAAGTACAGTTTGCCATTTGCCGTGTATTTTTTTACACTTTTGGGTGTGATGTTGAAAGGCTGAAGATGGAAGCCATCTTTTGAGAGTTGGGCCAGGGAGATAGAAGTCTCACCGCTGAGATTTGCCTAGAAGTGCATGCATGGGCTCGGTTTCAGTACGGTTTTAGTATTGCCCGCGAGCCTCAGTTCCCTGAACTGGAACCAAGGAACCCTAACACCACAATCAAATCACGGGCAACCGGAACCAGACCCCTGGTCGCTGGGCGTGGAAAGCTTTCTTGATTCTTTGCCATGAGCCTGGGTCGTCTATCTCAATTGATCGAGACTACCGTTGGATACAACGCGTCTTCCTCAGAACCAATCCCGTCAACCATGAACCACCTTGAAGCGGAAGGCTGCGCAGTGGTTTTGGATGTCCACAACATTGACAGCTTTGCCTGTCATATCCACGGTTTCACATAGTAGGTTGCAACATAGTTGCCGAAGGTTGCAACAGCTCAACCGTTTCAGTGGCTCAACACACCTTTCGGGCAAATGCAGAGTCGATGTGAAGCAGACAAACAAACACACACACACACACAAACACAAACACAAGCACAAACACAAACACAAACACACACACACACACACCCACCCACCCACCCACCCACCCACCCCCACCCCCACCCCCACCCCCACCCCCACCCCCACCCCCACCCCCAGCCCAACCCCCACCCACACCCACACGCACACGCACACGCGCACACGCGCACGTCGCACACACCCGCACACACCCGCACACCCGCGCACACCCACGCACACCCACGCACGCACGCACGCACGCACGCACGCACGCACACACACACACACACACCCACCCACCCACGCACGCACGCACGCACGCACGCACGCACGAACGCACGCACGCACGCACGCACGCACACCACACACACACACACACACACACACACACACACACACACACACACACACACACACACACACACACACACACACACACACACACACGCACCCACGCACGCACACGCACACACGCACCCACGCACCCACGCACCCACGCACCCACGCACCCACGCACCCACGCACCCACGCACCCACGCACCCACGCACCCACGCACCCACGCACCCACGCACGCACGCACGCACGCACGCACGCACCCACACACACGCACGCACCCAATACTTATTGAGCACATAAACATAGCACGAGAAGTCCGAGTTTATTACAGATTTCCACGAGAGCCTTAACACAGTTGTTCATTGGAATCCACCCTTTTCCACTGCTTGGTGGATTCGGGACCTAGTAGAAATGGAATCATCCCCAAAAGCAGAGCGCTTCCCTTTTGCTTTTCATCCGCTTTGTTTGCAGTTTATGGGAAGAACATGTTAAGAAAAACTGTGTGGACTTTGTATGGTGAGCCCACTCAGGAAGAGAGTCTAATTGGCTTTCAGGTCACTGGTTGCAACTTGGCATTCCAAGCAGGAAACTCCCGAAACGGGGGACTTCTTGTGATTATGTGAAGCCAAAAGGAAACCAGGCCATGCTCGTGACCAAATGTGGGTCAGTAATTAGTGCCCCCCAAAAAGAAAGGAACGGGTTAAGAAGCAATCAGTTTGGGAACACTGTTCCGTTGTTTGTCGACATGTGCAAGTTAATTGGGACAGGTTGTATATACCTCCACAAGAGTAAACCTGCACTTGGGGTGCTTGGGGGGGAGGGGTGGGGGATGTCAGTCGACACAGATCGTATCGTCCATCGACCCAGGCTGCATCTGCCCATGGTGAAGGCGGCCAGGCATCTCTACCACGCGCCCTGAGCAGATCTTCAGTTTCTTTGAAGGAATTCTGAGAGAACCCCAGTGAAACTGATTCCAGAAGTTACGTCTATGCAAGGGGAGCGCAACCAGTGACCTTTGGGAACAGGAGCAAAGGGACCCAGTGGGAAAGGTGCCCTTGAGTTGTTAAGAGAAACGCGGGAACCGGGGTCTCCAAAACTAAAGAGATGCCAATGCCCTGCGTGGGTGTAAGCTACGCGGCCAACTATCTTTTTGCTTGATGGGAAACAAGCAAACGTCAGCTCTGTTTGAAAGGAATTTCAGCGTATTTGCTTCTGTCGCAGCGTCTTTGCAACTCTTCCCCATCAACTGTCTCCATGTTTAATCACACGGCCGTGGAGGCAGAGGATATACTTAATAAGACTGAAAAGTAATGAATTGGACGATGAAAAGAGACTGTAAATCCATATCTTTGTTTTTCCTGGTCTTTCTTTCTTTCATACCTGATATCATTCAATCATCCCTCACTCCCTTTAATCGCTGCAGCATAGAAAGTGAGGAGGTGATATGAGATGAAAAATGTCAATTCCCTTCCAATTTTCCTAGCAAAAAAATAAAAATGGGATGACATCAGAAAACTGACAGTTGGTTCACTTGCCAATCTCATTTCCTTCCCATGCCATGTCTAGTCCATCCCCAGCACGGATTAATAATTTAAGATACCAAGAGAAAGAGAAGAAGCGCGTGACACTAAACAATGCACCTGGCCTCCGTAAATGCAGTACACTTGCGAATTGTGGGGCAACCACACTGTTTTTAGTGTGCGCACATGAGGCACGTAGTGGCATCTGACGCCTGGCGAAAGCTCTTGCGTGAGGGAAGTCTGCCAGGAAAATGGCCTCGAGGAAGACAACAACCACTACACCAGACAAAAGACATTGGGCACCAAATCATGTCCCTCGGGAACTTGTTTGCTTTGTTTGCTTTTTGGGTTTTGTTGGTTTCTTCGAGGTGTTTTTAGTTTGTGCAAATGGGAGGCCTTCTAGGCATGTTTTTGTTTGGCTTTGCCATTAGGATTCCTTTCAGGCATGCAAATGAGGGCCGGGCACAGCATACCCTTTTGGCATTGTTTCAAAGGTAAACCATCAGAAAAGGTACATGTTCGGGAGCAGTTCTAATTGCAGGAGAGAAGCCCATCCATTCAAATGTGTACGCTTAGTTTTGATATCCACAGCTTGCTCTTCAACCAACCCACGTTTCATGGCCAACAGCATAGGTGTGAGCAACGCATTCCGGATTGACTCAAGCTTCGAGATGCAAGCACGTTCAATATTGCTTGAACGGGGCCAGTTAAGTCCCTCACAGCGATCCTTTAGGCAAAATTACATCCATGGAAAAGTCAGCTAAAGATAGCATACTTGTTGGGACATTGATTCACACATGTTCTAGCAGATGGTCCACGTGCTAAGTGTATTTTTTGCAAACGAGCAAGAGCCAGTGTTAGCCCTTGTGCCCGCAGCACCTTGACCAAAGAAACAAGCAAGTAAGCACGGAAAGATTTGAAAGACTGGGACAAAAACCATAAAGTAAAGACACACACGAAGAACGAACACCATAGAAGAACCCAGGAGGGGACGACACACACGACTAAACACTCAACAAAAGAAGACGGGCAGACGGGCAGATATAAACAAGTAGATGATGAGTGAACAAAATAATACACAAATAAGAACACACTGAACATGATTAGGTAGACAAGCGACACATGCATGAAATAATAAGATAGGCTCACAATCAAACAAGCACACAAGCATAGACGCACACACACACACGAACAGAGACACAGACACAGACACAGACACAGCCAGGCAGAGACAGACACAGGCACAGCCAGACAGAGAACCAGACACAGACAGGCAGTCAGACAGTCGTCAGACACAAGCATACAAAGGCAAACAAACAAAAACAAGCAAGCAAGCAAGAAAAAGGAGCAAGCAAGCAAACAAACGGATGGACGAACGCACAGACAGGCAGGCGTGCAGGCAGGCAGTCAGGCAGGCAGCCACACAGACACGCAGACACACACACACACAAACAAATACAGACAACCATAGAGACCAAACAAACAACAACTAACATCAAAGAAGCAAGCACGCACGGAAGCAAACAAGCAAAGCAAAGAGAGCAAGGAAAGCAGGAGTGACAAAGAAAGCAAAGAAAGCAAGCCAAACAATGCAAGCAAGCTAAGCAAGCCAGGTAGCAAGCAAGCAATGCAAAGCAAGCAATGCAAAGCAAGCAATGCAAAGCAAGCAACGCAAAGCCAAGCAAGGCCAAGCCAAGCAAGGCCAACCAAGCCAGCCAGCGAGCAAGCAAGCAATCAAGCAAACAAATACATCACCATGCAAAAGCACTACACACAAACAAACAATTGAAACGAACAAGAGCACACCCACAACACAGCAGCAATTCGTAGAGGAGTTTAGAGGAGCTGTTGAAAGACTTCAGAAAGCGACAACAGAAAGCAAACAACCTTAGAAGTCATGTGGCCCGAAAAAGCGAAACATTTGCCTTTAAGGCAAGAGTAGGTTTGCGGCCAGGAAGGTCCGAGAGCAGAAACCAAGGCGGTTTTGGCGTTGCTGGGCAGCGCCTGCTGCGCACTGCAGCTGCTATTGAATGCGCTGGGTGCGGGCTGCGGGGGGTTCAACAAGCACCTGGGTCCCATGCGCCCGCTCTTCCTGGGCCTGGTGCCTCAGAAAAGGGGGTTTGGTCAACCGCGCTTGATCACCAAAATCCTGTGAAATCGAGTGTTTTGTGTGTTTGTGTTTCTGTGTTCGTGTGTTTGTTTGCTTACTTGCTTGCTTGCTTGCTTGCTTGTCTGTCTGTATGTCTGTCTGTCTGTCTGTCTGTCTGTCTGTCTGTCTGTCTGTCTGTCTGTCTGTCTGTCTGTCTGTCTGTCTGTCTGTCTGTCTGTCTGTCTGTCTGTCTGTCTGTCTGTCTGTCTGTCTGTCTGTTTGTTTGTGTGTGTGTGTGTTTGTTTGTTTGTTGTTTGTTTGTTTGCTTGTCTATGTGCGTGTGTGTTTGTGTCTGTGTTTGTGTCTGTGTGTTGCAGTGCTACGTGTGCGGTTTGCAAGGCCCCCAGTTGCTTCTGCCAGTACCTGTCAAGTGCCTCAAGTCCATATCCACAAGTTCGGATGGTTGCTGAATATTTCGTCTTTAAGAGTCTTTGGGTCCTGAGCAGGAGCACAATGCATGAGCGATCACGAGTGCGGGGGCGACACAAAGATCATAAGAGCGATGGTCAAACCAAGCGACATTTGTTTTGGTATGTGCCCCAAATAGTTGTTACCCTGGCACGCCCGATATACCAGTTCCTTGTAAATAACTAAGGGATGTATTGTGTCCCCACTAAGAACGGGTTTGCCAACCTCGAAGAGTAAGGGTTTCACGTCGTACTTCTTCAAGCCCGACTTCTCCGGCTGTTGTTTGCCCCTTTTTCCCGTTAAAGTCAGGCTGCCCAAGAGCCAACCTTTGTCTCCAGGTCCTTTGGGCAGATGTTGATATCTACCTTTCGAGTCACTGCCTGGATTGCTTCGGGAATCACAGCATGGTTGGTTTCGCTTTGTTTCCCTTGGTTGGTAGCACAAAAAGCACCCGGAAAAGCACAGAAGGCCGGCCTTTGCAATTGTTCGGAATGCAGTTGGGAAAGACTCCAATGCAAGGCTAGAGTCTTTTGCTAAAGTCCGGCAGTTCAATGATGGCGAACAGCGATCTCACAAAGACCCATTTCACCAATGCTTTCCAAACTCCGTCAAGTTTCCTCAAAAGGTGTGTGGTAAATCACCCACTTGAACACCAACGGCATGTGGCAAGCTGCAGCCGTTCGTCGGGCCGGGTTGCCCGCTTATGGTTGTGGAAGATTTGGCTTCAGGTTGCCACTTTTCGTGTCACTTTCTGTTCTCATTGTTTCAGGCACAACCATCCACTCAAAATAAGTCCAAGGAATGGGCATCAACCATTCTGGTGTTACAAAAACGGGAACATGTTCCATTGCCATGGTGACAAGTCGGGAAAGGCTCCGTTTGTGTCTTGTTATTCTGCGTTGGGTGCCAGAAAGAGCCCACATCTGTTGAAATTGTCCCACAAGCAACCCAGGCATGGGCATTTTTGCTTTACACTGCAGGTCAACATGTAACCCCTCCCCTTCGTTTTGAAACGTGGGCACATTTTGGGTTCCTTCCGAGAGCCCGCTTCGCGATGCGTCAGGCCTCCTGTTGGCCTCCATGACGACCCGGCCCAAGCCCTTCCAGGTGCTGCTCCAGCTGCCGAAGCCCCGGAATGCGAGCGCAGGTCCTTTCCCATCCCTCATGTCAGGTGGGAATCGTCGAATCTTCACAGGTCCAGCCAATCTCGGCGGAGAAAACCGGAAAGCTTCTTGGTGGTGTCAGAATACCGATGCCCCGGATAGAGATCAGAAGGACACACACACCATGTGTAGGGCCCCTTTCGATGCACGGCTTTGGCGAAAAGCAGCAGATGTTCCAATAAGCCGGACGGAGCTCAGCTCTCGTGAAACCCAACTTGAAAGCAGGATTTGGACAGGGGTACCCCGCGGAATCCCATTCAGATACATTTCCCTTGTGGGGTAAATGTATCATGATTACCATGGTCCCCACCTTTGTTGACTTGTTTCCACCTTTTGGTCTCATCTGTGCGCCGTTTTTGAAGCACATTTGAGGTCCATCGCCTTCCTCCCGGAGATGGTCCAGCTGCGGAACCTCACAGTCCACCGCAAAACCCGGAAGCTGAAACCGACGCTGGAGGCGCCGGGGTCGCTTGAATCCACGGACTGGGAGGGGCACCCATTTTTCTGGGTGGTTCAGAAGCAATCCTGAATCCTGAATCCTTGAGTTAGTGTAATGGACCCCATTTTTGAACCCAACTTTTTGGGGCTGGCTTGGGAGTTCCTGGACTTTGGCGGTCTTGGGAAGAAAGAGTTTGGTTTTGTGTTGGCAAGTCCACTCGGGAAGTGAAAAGGAGGTTGCTTAAACATTGGTGAAGGACCATTTGCAAAGGGCTTGTACCGTCCCAACGGCGCAAGATCAATCCTGAAGCCTACCAGATGTTAGTGCAACCAACCTGGGCGCAAAATCAATAATCCTTGGACTAGCCTTGGACGTCGCAGATTACGGATTAGGATGCCAGTTTGAGCCCCCTTGAAAGGAAGCTAGAAGGTTTGACAAATGTTGAGTCCCATGATTGAAAAGGGGTTTGGGTGGCATCGTTGATGTAGGCTTTATCGCATTCGTGCACATTTGGGCACTCATTAAGATGCCTTGTTTTCTCTGATTCAAAAAACAAAAAACATTTCATGGGTGCCACGGTGAAGATGCCATTCCTGTGGTTGCAGGTGGAGCTGGTGCTACCCACCATGGGCTGCGTCGCCTGCATCAACCAGGCGGATGTTTGCCCGGCTTGCGGCAAACGTGCGGCGAGTGGGCGGTTTCTATTTGGTCCCTTGAAAACACCGCTAAAAAGGGAGGCTACTCCCCCCCCAAAAAAAAGAGAGAGAGAGAGAGAGTAAATTTACAAGAATAAATATCATATACAGTGTGGAGGTTCAGAAATATGCGTGGAAGTTAGGATGCCCCGATTCTAGTTAGCCGTCACACAACTCCTATTGAAGACAGCATGGGAAGATCCAATGCCGTCACACAGCATGCCATCCGTTACGGCGGCCCAAGCCCTCCCCACGGGATATCCACTCGACTCCTCTCGAGTGAGGGGCCTAGTTCTTCCTTGCGGTGCATATCCCATTTGGACCATAGGCGTCCTTGTTGGTTTACATAATGGCCCTGGTTGACCTGGTTGGTTCAGAATCTACCAGGGCCGTCTATTTTTGGACATACGGATTTGGAGGATTGGGTTCCTGTCGGTGTTTGTGTTGTACACCAAAGAATGGGTGTGTTGAAAAGATCAGCAAAACCCGGCTGCCACCAAGCACATTATTTCACGCTTCTTGGTATCTGGTTTCCTCCCTTGTTTCTTGTTTCTGTTTGTTTTTGGCGGGGTTGCAGAAAAAGACAATGTTGGTGGAGTTCGGAACTTCCCAAGCAAATAGCAGCGCAGGTGCTTGAATCAACCAACTTTGCAGTCGTCAAAACACACATTTTACGTGGGCTGTTCTTGTTCTTTGGAGGTGCAGGTGGGCAACATTGAATGCATTGGCCGAATGATGACGTTTCGTCGCTGATATAGTGCTGTTGACGACTGATTGATGACATAGCGAAAGGTAAGGTATGATCTTCGTGTTTACTCAGATGGACATCCTTGGCAGCTCTAGAGATTTGCTTGGTAATTCCCAGAGGCGCCAAATTTGGCAGGTGGCACAGCTCAGTTGTGCCGTTCTTTTAGAGAGAGGAGTATGGAGGTGAGCGGACGACATGGCAGTCCAGCCCTAGGAGAAAACTTATGTGTGTGTGTGTGTGTTTTTTGAGGGCACCCTTTTTTCCTTGATTTTAAGGAAACTGGCCTGTTATTTCTTTAGGCTTGGGGAACACCCTTCTATGCCTTATTACTCATGTGCCGTCTAGCACAACGCATGCTGCACAAAAAACAATGCGCCCATGACACAGGAGGGGGTTCGGCTACCTGACTTGATGAGGATTTACAGCCATGTACAGCCTGCATGGCCGGAGCTAGCAGTGTTCATGGACCCTTCGCGGTTGGAGCAGATAGTGAAGACATTCATGGGAACAGTTCGGTGGACACCATGCTGATGGCGTCCATCACCCCAGATTACCGAGCTGGCTTCAGATCTGTGGCCGCACAGGTTCGAGTTCTACGCAAACAAGCTTTTGTCCAAGACCAGATGTAGCTATATTGGCTAGAAAGAAGCTTCGCAACCATTTGTGTCCCAAAGAGGGCTGCTTTGTCCTAGGTCCATTTCCCAGGTCCCCGGTCCCACTGCAAGGGGAATCAAGTGGCCGAGGAAACCAACATCGGGGAACCACGCGGAAACCCAACGACAATTACACGGAAACATCCACTGGGAAATGTTACCGGGACCCCCTTATTGAGGGCTGAAGGGAGACCAAGAGGAGACAGGTTCGCTGTTCTCCCTTGCCTTTGCTGCCGAAAGGAACCCAAAGAACGACCAAGGACCAAAACGAAGCAAAAAGTATGCCAAGAACCCACGGGTTGCCAAGGATTTTCTTTTGGACCGCCGAAAATCTGAATTCAGGATTTGCAAGTGGAGCACCTTGAAGTCAAGCCGAAGCATTTGGCTTGAACTGCGACCGCGCACCCGGGCAAGTGAAGGTTCGGGACAGTCGCAAATGGGTCCGACAAGAAGCCCTCTCGATTCTTTACCATGGGTTTTGGGTAGAGCCCTTCACCAGATGCTGGATTTACCTGGTTTGTAGTACCACTTTGTCTTGTTTGTTTAGTTCCTAGATACCTGAGGTAGCAAAACTTTGCATCCCCTTTACAAGGTCTTCATTCTTGATTATTGATTCTTTGCACGATAGTACCGAGTTTTGCGAATGCACACTCCGGCGCCGCGCGCCTCGCGAGAGGTGAACCGCACACTGCGGCAGCTGCCGGCAGTGGTGTCGTCTGAGGCGTCCCGTTTTGGAAGTGGCAAAGGACTGAAGCCCAGCGCATTACGTATTCCGATAGAGGAACCCTGGGTTGTAAGTATGTTGAGTTTTTATCGAAACATGGAAATCCTGAGTGGTTGGTCGCTTGCTTTGCTTGCTTTGCTTGCTTTGCTTTGCTTTGCTTTGCTTTGCTTTGCTTTGCTTTGCTTGCTTTGCTTTGCTTTGCTTTGCTTTGCTTGCTTTGCTTTGCTTGCTTTGCTTGTTTTGCTTGCTTTGCTTGTTTTGCTTGCTTGCGTCGCTTGCTTGCTTTGCTTGCTTGCCTTGCTTTGCTTGCCTTGCCTTGCCTTGGTTGCTTGCCTTGCCTTGCCTTGCCTTGCCTTGCCTTGGTTGCTTGCCGTCTTGCTTTGTTGCATTCTTGGCATGTGAGGACTGAAACAGGGGACCCACCAAGAAAACTACACCCATGAGGCATACACAACTAGGTCCCTCGAAGCGATCCTGAGGTTCTCACAATTGCTTCTGGACAGTGTCTTCGGGAGACATTTTGAGGATGTCACTATGGATCCAATTCAAACCTGTGTGCTCAAAGATAAAGAGCTGCCTCCGAGATCTTAAGGAATGATATGTTCCAGTTTGTGGGACCATTGAGGTGGTTTGAATACGGCTTTCTTTTCTAGACTACCTTACCGGACAATTCTACAGTTGCTGCCCTCAAAGTGGTAACAGTTTCCTGGACGGAAACCGAAGCCAATCCAACTGTCCACCTGGGATCTGTCTTACTCGTAGAATTGGTTGATGAATTCGTGCGACGCAGCACAAAGATGAGCCAAATACGGGTTCCGTCAAAACAGGTGCTATGCGGCTTTCCAGGGGATCATGTGAAGCCGATTGAGTAGCGACCAAAACACGTATTTGCATCTATTTCCCATTTTGGTGGTACTAGCTGGCTAGGCAAATGGGTGTGTCTTTTTTAAGGGGGCGGTTTTCCAGTTGGTGTTCCTTCTAAACCAACAAAGAGTACCCTCAAAAAGGACACCCCAAGTACGTGCCCTGCTTCGGTATCGCTTCGAGGCGTGGCTGGACGTGGGCGGTGGCCGCGCCAAGGTGCGCTGCGACGCTGACAAGGCCGGGGGCGCGGCCAAGGCCACGCAGCGCATGCGTGAGGCGCGAGGGAGGTGGGCGGAAGGGAAAACAATGGGTTGCGGAGGGGGGGGGGCGGGCGGGGAATCTCAATAACCAAGGTGTTTTTCTTTTGAATAGGGAACCACCTGAAAAGGACGGGGCTTCTCAAACTTCTAGGATTTTTGATAGGGAACCACCTGAAAAGTGATTGGTGGACATAAAACCCCACCAAAATGATGTGCGCCAAAGAATCCCGGATGAAATGTCAGACCCAAATGCAAAACCATGCTATTTCGGAAGCTTCGGAGTTGGAATATATCACTACATCCTTGCCAGCGACCAGGGTTCTCAAAATAAGGATCCGTTTCCTCAAATGGTGGTTTGTTTTCTGGCTTCCTTCAAGTACCTACCCGGTTGAGTCCCCAGTCTTTTCAGCTACCATTCTGTTCAACACCCGGCCGTCTCGGGTTTAGGGGTGGTTTAATGGAAAGGATCCCTGGAAAGCATGGGATAGTTATCCCTTAAGTTGCTTCCAGCCTCTGATTTCCTTTGGTTTCCAGAAGAGCCATGCCATAATTATCTCTAACCCTCGGAGGGCATGCGCGCACAGCGAAAGCAGTGCGCGCGTGCCATGTCCGTCCAGCTCAGGCCGGTGTCGCGGTGTCGCTTGCCCTGCGAAAACCGCGACCTGAGATGAACTGCCGCCAGATGCGGCAGGCGAGCAAGCTGCTTACAGCCCAACTCGATTGCGGAAGGCGAACTCCTATTTCCGGCTTCGAGAACATAAGAGCACACAGGCCTCTAGCAATCATGAACAGTATGGCCCGAAACTGATCGGGACAATGCCTACAACACATAAAGGCCAGGCGGGTGCTGGCGGAAACAAGTACAAAAGGAAAAACACGGGAGCTACACTGCCCTGGTGGCTCAAGTCTCGGTATCAAGCCAGTGTTCGGGTTGGAATGCTCCAACATCTTAGTAGAAGCCGGACACTGGTGCCCCAGAGCCCTTGCAGAAGTGAATGAAGGGGAGTGGATTCTCGGAGCCAACCCGCTCCCTGGCCCGAGTCGTAGCGTGCGCGTAGGTGCAGGTGCAGTCAGAAGTTGCTATGCATACCAAATCGGGCCGATGCAGCTGACGTTGACCACCGACATGTTGGATCCCGCGCCCGTGATGGAGCCCAACAACTCGGAAGTGGCGCGTGCGAGGAGGTCCCGAGCTTCTGCTGTCTCGGCTCCGGAGCTGGAAGGTCTCAGGCCTCCCTATTTTCCCCTAAGACTATCCGGGCATATACGGTCATGGCGAAATGGGTATGTTTAATTGTTTTTTTGGGGGTCCCCTTTCAGATGTTTGCTGGGCTTTTTCAAACAGGAAGTTTGAACCCCTGGTTCTAGGAGGTACATGAGCAACTGTCCCTAACCACCAAACAACGAATTACAGGGAAACGGAATCAGCGCGGCTCGCTTCAGGCCATGAGTAAGGCTGGGTTCGAGGAGTGCACGGTGGAGGCGTGAAACTGGGATGGGTTTGGGATCCGTTGTTACTATGGTGGGGTGACAACCGACAGGAAACCGCTACCATTTTGGGGTCGCCCGATTTTTAGGACAAATCCATAGGGAACCGGACCAAAATGGACGCTATATTTCTGGACGATCATGTTGAACCTGGCAATTTCAATGACCCCCTTGGAGCTGATTCCTACCGCGTTTGGTTGAGAGCCGCAAACTAAGGTTTCGTAGTGGGGCGAGGAATCTGTGAGGAGTACTGTGTCAGGTGTACACCAGGTTCTTGACGGTAAGAATCCCCAAACCGCGAATGCCAGCAAACTGAAGCGGACGCCATGTGGCGAGCGTTCTGATCGGAGCAACTCGCCGATTTCCCATCGGAAGCCTCAACAAATGGCTTCAGTTTCAAAATTTGAAGTATCGGACCCATTGCCGCAAACATTGTTGTTTTCCCTTCCAAAAGGAGTCCTTTCCACAAGGTGCGGGAATCCAGAGGGCCCTTTTTCGGAATCAGAAACCTTCGTGCATCGAAAAATCGGAGAAGTGCTCGGCATTCGGCATTCTCCGGAGTTATGGCCAAGGCTCTAATCATCTCCCGGGTTGGTATGGTCAGGGCCGGTGCGATGTAAACCTCTGTATTTATAACAGCATTGGTAGACCGGAAGTCAACGGGTCAAAGGGGCGCTGCTTGTGAGGTGTTGGGATGAGGTGTGCCATTGGCAATTGCCAGGAAATGATTCTCGCATGTTGGGAGGCGGACAAGCGAATTGCAGAACAAGTGACTATGAGATGGGGTTTGATCAATTCAATGCCATCTACAAAAAGGGTCCTGATGCTGATACATTGCCAATGATTGTGCAAGCATAGACAATTGCTCTACCGACCAAGAGATTGCAGCCCAAGCAGTCCTGGAATCCAGCTAAAAGCAAACCTTATTGTCCCCCTGCCACTTGTTCGGCTTCCTGTCGGGTTCCTTTTGCTCAAGAAAGACTATCCGACCCCTCCAAATCGCCGGCGTGTTGGACCCCAAAAAGACTTCCGTGTTGCCACGTACACGTAGGACATAAACCCCGTGCAATTGATGTACTGCAAAAAGTCGGCCACTTGAACCTTACTCTCCCTCAGACAGGTTTTGGAAGGCTATGAGCCTCCTTTGGGTTTAGCCCACCTCGGCTCCAGTCCGTCCGCGAGAAGCACTGAGCGAGCGGCGAATGTCCGCGTGTTCCGAATGCTTGGGCAGCCCAGAAAGGACATATCCGCAACCGTATTGCGTGCCAGGACTCGTGCGGTGACGGGCGAGAATCCCCAAGAGGAGGAAGGAGAAGTAAAACAAGGAGGGGAACGATAAGAAGATAGATATGCCCTGCCTGCCTCACTGTTTCAGCTCGCGAGTTGTTTGTTTAGGAGACGGGTGGCGTCATCTACAATTTTCACGGACCGATGGCAGGCCATTGTCCTCGCCCATCACATTCGTGTTCGAAACCTGGCGAGCACAGGTACAGGGCAAGTGTACCAGGGTGGTCCTTGTGCCGCCGAGTTTGGGAGAAGATTGGCATACCGGGATCCCTACCCGTTCAGGGCCTTTCCATACTTTGTGTTGCTGTCGAAAGGCATGGTCGCAAAAGGGCCCCCTGAAGTGTACAGGCGCTTGCCTCTTGCTTTGCGTGCGACTTTGTCAAGCGAGCGAAAACGCAGGCAGATGTGAAGTTCTGCTGTGGATGCGAGCAAGCAGGATGTCCAAGACGCACACCCAAGTCAGACGCTCCGAAGACCCGAGGGCTTCAAACCAAAAAAGCGGCCAAACCACTCCCGAACCACTGGTGGCAGGGGGCATGTTTGTACTGTACAGCCACTCTTTGAAGTATTGGTACCAGTATATGCCTGGCCCCAGTTTAGAAGGGTAACAGAGAAGATGTCAGGTCCTGTTCTTGTCTATTGAAGCATGGTGGCTTTGTGCCGTCGGTTTGCCTGTTGTCTTCCTGCTGGTGTCCTGTTGGTTTCCTGTTTTGAGAGACACCCAGTTGTCTGGTTTGCTCCCAAAACCTGCCCGAAAGCGCCCCCCTTTGTCGATCCCATGTGAACCCACAACTTCATGGGAACTCGAATCAAAGCTCGATGCGGAGCCATGGCTTTACGTCTTCAATGGAAGCCCCTTGGTTTCAGGAGTCTCCATTTCTGGTGAAGCCGGGCTTTGCTTGGCAAGCCATGCTGAAGGGGTGAAGACACAAGCGTTTTGATCAAAGGCATCCCGTTTTGACCCGCCAGTACTCCAGCCGCCTGTCCGCTTGGCTCGATTCCAGACTCGCGCCGAATCGTTTTGGGCACACCTCCAGCGTGGAGGAAGTTCTTGAGGGCTCCAAAGTTCTTCAAGCCAGTGCCATGTACTCCGATTCTGTCAGCTAGTGATGCTATTCCCAAACAAAGAAAGTGACGCCATTTAGCAGGGAACGCCAGTGCCATTTGCCAGGCAATCCATAAATTAACAGCGTGAAACATGTTTGGTTTGGGACTGGCATCTGGCCAAAGAAGTGTACCCTCTTCTCCCCGGCCGACGGGTCGGCTTTTGACCCCAGTTAGCTGTGACCCAACTGCCCAGCCCCCGTTTGCCATCTTTTTGACTCCGGCGCTATCGGCCATCGGCCATGGCCCGACGGCTCAGAGCATCTCACTGGGGCGCGTCTGGTCTCGATGGGGTGACCCCCACGGTGAGAGTATCTTGGTGTAGGGAATGTGAAATGGAATGAACCTGGGGATTCCCTAGGAACCACCAGTTGGATGGTCTATGAAATTCATTCCCTCATTCCCTGCTGAGTACCAGCAAGGTATAGCAATTTTCGCATGGTTGAAAGTGGACAATTTTATGCTAGCCCATCAAACTCGGTTCGAACCCCGAGTTTCTAAAGGGCTTCCGACCGATCCATCAAAATCTGGAGGTTTGGGCTTCACATGTAACTTCCACGACCAATCCAATGGACTCCTGGATTCAAAAAGTGAGATGCTACCTACCAACAATTTGGTTGGGTCTATGGAGACTCCGGGTACGCTCACTGGAATCAACGTTACTTTCTGACTTTCCAAAGGGGTACCTTTGCGCCTGCAATCATAGCCGGAAAGGCGCCAGCTGCTTTCATCAATGCGGAACGGGGCAAAAATTGACCAGCAATGGGACTCACTACTGATACTATGTCACTTGTTTCTTGGTGGATTCCCCAAGAAATGTCAGCCCCAGAGAGGGTGTACTCTTTCTGCCACAGTCACCAGGCATCTGTGATATTAAGGTGTAAAATGGTTGAGGGGGTTGGCTTAAAGGGACACCAAAAGGAAAACCGCCATTTTAAAATTTTAGGGGGGGGGGGGTTACGCAGTACCCCCTCTTTCGAGACACAACCCAAACGCTGGGGAGAGGCGGCAACTGCTCAGTTTGACTTATACTCGTCTTGGCCTGAGGTACACATCACAAGTGAGTGGCATCGTTGTAGATCTATGTAAACCGAGACCCCTGAGACACGTGATCCTCAAATTGGGGTATCCACCCTTGCAAAGTCACGGACTTCAGGCTGTCATTTCGGCCATTTCGTGTTTGTTCAAACAAGGCAACCCATCCCTCGTACAGCTTTTATATATGTTGCGCATTCCTTTGAACCACCAACCCAATCCATGAGCCAACGCAGTCGTGCTGCATCATCTGAACTGGGTCCCTCAGTAGTGGCCGTTTACCCTTTTTTCGGGGGAGGGTTCCCCTACTAAAATGGACTACAGAAAACAAAAGGGCATCCTTATTCTAACCTCTCCAGTGAATGTGGGTTAAGGAAAACCTGGCTCGAATGGCAGGGGGAAACCGGGCCTCTTGCATGGGGCAGAGCGTTGTGAAGCGTGCATCGTTGTGTTCCTGGTGTCCTCGCCTCGAGCCATTCCTTGGGTTCTAGTTGAACCTTTGAAGGTCTCCCAAAAAGCTTGGCCATTTTTCTGCACTTGATTTCTATTGGATCTTTAGACTTTAACTTGTTGGTTGAAATAGTCGGTATTCCATTGGACCCGCAACAAGCTAAGCTTTTTGCGGACTGTTGCTTGCAATTCAGCTTGTGATTTGTTTTCTTCTTCCGGGGCCTCAATTTTCTGCTGCCCTCGAAGGACAGCGGGTGTTGCCATCCTTTGAATCCTCGAAAAAGGGTCTGTATTCTGCACCAAATAAGGATCTGAAAATAAAATCGACACTGAAAGTTCATGGCCTGGATTCATCAGGAACACCAAATCTAGATTACCTCCCAAATGATCCACCCAGTTGGAGTAGAATCACACCAAACTTGTTTTTAGGAATAGTTCAAATGTCACAATGACAATACTGAGACTGTGGATGAACGAATTCCTGCACCACTTTGGAAACCAGGGCGGGAGACCATTGTTTGTTGGTATTTGCAGGGGAAGCATTGTTGCAGGGTTTCTTAGGTGGTGCAGGATTTTGTCCATCCACAGTAGTAGTAATAAAGATCTTCATACATGATAGACAACAAAAATGCAAAATAGTGATGATCATCATCATCATCATCATCATCATCATCATCATCATCATCATCATCATCATCATCATCATCAGCGTCATCGTCATCGTCATCGTCATCGTCATCATGATCATTAGCAACAACAGCAGCAGCAGCAGCATCATCATCACCCCAATTGCGGGGGTCGGGCGACTCAGACAATGAACACCGTGCAGATGTCGGAATGTGTTTTGTCAGTTTGCGTAAGCAAGCATTTCAGATTTCTGAATCTTATGACTTGCCCGAATAGTCTCGGCACCCAGCGTGTAGGCCCCCTTGAAATTTGCCCGGGCA